GAAACAAAAGAGCATAATTTAGCTAACACAATAATAACCTTTAAAAATCAGTTTGATAAAGCAAATTTCCTCTGAGGTTTTCTATAAGTTGTACTGACTCTTTGATACAGTTTAAACAGGTGACTTGCCACTATTTTAACGCTAATCAGGCTAGTGCAGAACAGTGTAGCAGAGTTACACATGATATGCATGTGTGCTGAGCAGAGACCATTAAAGGTCCAGTGTGTAGGACTGAATGGCATCCAGCGGTGAAGTTGCAGATTGCAACTAGACTCACACGTCAGTCTTTAGATGCTTTGCTTAACTAAAGACTGAAGACTTTCTCCCTGATTTTGTGTTTAGATGGGCGGATACAATTTCAGAGTTTAAAAAATCTCCCTATGTTGCAGAACCAATAGTAAATCTGCAGGGCGGTCCTTCGGTGGCTCGCTGAACTCTTGTTCTTGTAAACATAGTCCCACTAGAAACACGTGTAGCGGTACAAAATGGCTCAGCCGTGCTCGCAGAAAATGCCGTCAAAGTTCAGTGGATGTTTGCGGCGACACATTCTTGCCAACTAAAAGAAACAAACATTATCCTTTACAAGGCCATGACTCATCCGTCTGGCCGGACTATAGAGGGAATCGCCTTGTTGTTTACAAATACTTCCGGGTAGAAAACCAGCAGAGCTTTTAGCTATATATATAGCCTATACATCACATTTTTCACATCACTGTATCACCGTTTAGACTAATCCGATGTTTGTAAAGTCTATAAACACAAAGATTGAACAAACATTACTATTTCTGTGTGCACGTTTAGCTGGGCTAACCGTTAGCTGTTAGCCCTGTTAGCCGTTAGCAGTGTCTGTAATAGGTAATAACTCATTAAACGGTCCGTGAAAAAATATCTTATCCAGCGGATATCTTAGTTACAACATGATTGAGCTAGCAAAGCAGTTTTGTGTTGCTGTGTGTGGTATTTATTCAGTTTTGGGAAATCACGATGTCTAGAAAGCATCAGTGGCTGCAGCTGACAGGGACAGCTAACAGCAGCAGCAAAGCTAACATCAGGACGTCATCTGTTAAAAGCCTCCCGTTGTCGGATACGACATGAAACTACTCCAGTTAGCTCAATCATGTTGTAACTAAGACATCCGCTGGAAAAAATATTGTCTTCACGGATGAGCACACGTTTGATAAAACGGAGTTTAATCTCTCGGCATCCATTTTCAAGCTCTCTGTGTGTTTGTTTCCTTGCGGACGAGAAAAGGGGGAGCACACATTTCCGAGAAGGCGTGTCCTTTTCAAAAATGCAAGAGGCGTTGCTTTGTTGCCGGCCGTTTTCGCCGGTGTTAAACACACTTTAGAAAGGAGTGTCCCCAGACTACCAGAAGGCGGAGAGCTCTGATTGTCTGGTGGCGAGACTAGATTGCAACTAACTGAATCTTCTCCTGTGTGCCAAGTGTGTAGGAGGACTCTGGTGGCTGACACAAAAACACACCTGGCCCTATCTAGAGTCAGTATTTGGTTTGTGCTACTACTGTAGAACTACTGTAGAATTTACATGGTGGACTCTGTGGAAGAGGACCTGCTCCATATGTAGATATAATGGCTCATTCTAAGGTACCGAAAACACAATGATTCTTATTTTCAGGTGATTATACACTCATGAAAACACAATTATTAATATTATATTCAATTTCTGACAATATACCCCAGATATCTGACACACTTTAGTAAGGGAGAAGCTCTCCCATACAACAAGCAGGTTTATTTTTAATTCAGAGTCTACTCACACTCACAGATATACAATACAAACATATACAGAGAGGCAGCTCTCTCTCTGTCCTTGTGTTGACACCGAACAAATCTGAAGGTGATACAGCAGGCACAAAGTGTATTTACAAGGGGTAAACAAAAATAATACCAACACCTTATGTACAAGAACATTAACTCTGATGAAAATTCAATTAGCAGCAGTTTTTTTTTAATCCAGGGAATTGATGAGTTTTTAAAGGCAGCATGAAAAAAACTAACAGAGGTAAAAGGAAGAAAAATAATCTGTTTTTAAATACTAAGTACATAGATAAGAGAAAAGCTGCAGCGTTATGTAATTGTACATGTAAACATATGCAAATAAAAACAAACTGCGATGACAAAGACCAACATCGGTCACAATTTGAAAGTACTCAACGGACATTTAAAATCACACTAGCCCTCAAATTTAAGTATGTGCACAGGCATGGTCACACTGTCATCACAGTACCAGCAGAGATGACTGAGGTGCCTCAGGATTGGTTTGTGATTTTTTTTTAATCTAGCTACTCCTGTCAACCTTAGCTGAGACTAACGTCAGAACTGCCAGAACAGCCGCTGCCAAATCCCCCTACACAAGTTGACCCTTGATCCGGCAGCTGTTTGAAGAAAATGACCTGGACTGTGTAAACTGAGCACACAACTCAGCATCTTAAAATGTAAGCCTTACATTAAGTTGCTGCAATATCAAATAATAGCATGTAATGTTCTGACACACAATACAGCCTGAAGCCATAATAGCCTACCCTTTCTTTGACTGTGACGCAGGAGAGGCTGGCACTCTCAACCAGCCTTCACAAATTTGTCAGCTGTTAAGACAGACTGGGCCAGGAAATTTTGGAGTCATGGTCACAGTTTCGGATGAATCACACTGGCACGGTGGTTTTAATCACCAGATCTGCCACAGGCATTAATTAAAGGTACATTTTGAAGACTCATCCTTTGGTGTGTCCTTTCCATGTTGGTGGTTAACATCTATTGCATCTTTGAGATTTTATGTATTGTATTGTATTTCTTCTCTTATATGTTTAAGCACACTTTGTCCCACTCTTCAAAAACTGCAGTCTAAGAAGCAATTTCTGAAGCGCCCACGCTGAACTTTAGTCCATGATCTTCTTAAATATTGGCTGTGGCATTCACTGTAGGAATGGAATGAGCACAGTCATATGTACATGATACGCACTTGCAAGTCTATTAGGTAACCCTAACAAAAGATAACACAATACAATAGCCCTTCAACTTTATGGTTGAATCAGCACCACTGCAATGTGTGTGCTGCTGTTAACTGGTATTGTGATACACTGAGGCATATCTTTTTTCCCATCCTTTTAAATCAATAAGAAATGACTAAATATAGACCCCTAAACAAATAAGCAGTTTCACCTGCTTTCCCTATTTACTCCTAAATAATACATGCAGCTTATTGGCCTCTATATCCAATTGTATGTTTCCTCTTGAACCTAGAGTAGTACGGGCAGCTAGTCCATTAATTAAACTGTCTATCAACAGAATTGTTGCCAGTTAAAATCATTTTAGTTGTTGAGTATTTCTATTATTTGTCACATAAAAACTAATTAATTTGGGCATATTTGTTGCCTGTCACTAAGACTGGTCGTGGTTCTACTAAATTATACAGTCGACAGAAAGAGACTCGGTTTGGGAATATGAAGAATTGTGGGGAGGAAAAACATTGTATATAGTAGAGGTAACATTATTGTGCAACATAACATTACTGAATTGTCCTGTGGGACCTTTGAGTGGCCTCTGATTACTTGCGATGTTTTTTTTAATGGTCAACGTCTCGTCTGTCATTTAATACATGTTTAGTGCAAGTAAAAGTAACAATAACTTAATTATAGTCAGTTAACATAAGACCGTAATATCATTCCATTTGGCAATGTGTCCATTAGGCAATGTAATGAAAATAAACAGTGTGATTAAATCAGCTTCAGTATTCGACCCGCTGTTTGAGAGACCAGCTCAGCTAGCAAGGAGCTAACGTAATGCTAACTTCTTAGCTCACTCCGTATCTATTAGATACTTACATCGTTGAAGCCTCCATAAGTGGTCTTGTAGAATTCGTCCTCTTCTTCGGCATCCAGTAATTTTGACATGCGGTTTCCCGCAGTCTTTCTAGGTTCTCGGTCCACTGCCAGAGTCATGGCTGTAATTCCTAAACAATGCTAACAAACGTTTGGCTAGTAGCGAGCTAGCTAGTTTTATGCTAACTTAACTGTTACAGGCTGTTTTAGGGAGCCTAATTTACCTCCTCGTTACTCGCTTTGGTTACCTCAATTATCTGTTCATATCCATTGTTAGTTAAGTTATGAATACACTTTAAATTCACGCTAATGTGCAAAAAGAGTGTTCCATTCAAACACAAGCGAGAGCACAGCTAACCTAGCCGCTGCCTTCTGTCCCTGGCCAATACATCCGGGGCACGTGACGTACTTCCGTTGTTACGGTACGACGTAACCTTCAAAATAAACCTGTGCTTTTACCTATGCGCTGACCGTAATAATGACAGGCCCACAATTCGAAGTATGCAAATTTGTACACAGCGTTGTGTACTGTTTGACTTGATATAGCTTTATGTCGCTTTATTTCATTCACATTCATATCTTTTATTCTGTATTATTTGGCTGGTACATCTAGAATGGCGGCCACACACACCACACACTGATACTGTTGCTATAGGAACCAGTGGAGCGCTAATGTATTGCCATGGCAACATCTTTTGGATGAACCTCCTTGTGGCAGTTGTGATAATAATCTCTTAAGTATTTTATTTTTTTCCCTTTATTTTGGCTGTCATCCATTTTTCTTTTTCTTTTTTTTTAAACTCAGTTTCATGCCCTTTTACTTAATAATATGATGTCCCTGGTTAAAAAAAACTCAGGGTTGTTATTCTGAATTGTTCACTAAGGTTAATTTTCTTTTTCTTTTTTTTAAGTTGTGATGATCATTTTATCTTGGCAATCAACTTGTTTCAATCAATTGTCTCTTCTTTCTGTTTGTGGTCAATAGTTATTACTCGTTATTGATGTACTGATATAAAATAAATCATTTATTTTACCTGTTTACCAAGCATTCAAAACATAAACACAATTGCTTATCTGATGTCTCATGTATATATTTTGGACCAAAAACCACTGAAGAAGTACACCAAAAAGATACAAAATTACTTTTCTTTTTAATGTTATTAGAAAGCAAACTTGTGAAATGCTGGGGAATTAAAGAAAACACACATTCCTCACATCCATTAGCCTAAAAAATAAGCGGCCTACAGCAATAAATGTGACAATATTAGAATACTAGCAAAATATTTGTATGCAAATTAAGTCGAAATGACATGCAATACAGATGCAAGTACTGTGTACATTAACCTTCAAATAAGGTTAACATTCCTAGTATATTTTTTTTAGTTATCTCAAGGCTACCATCTAAGATCCATCATAATTATTTCAATTAAAAGGTCTATTTCTGTTTGTAAAAAATCAAATGAACAAAACAAACAAGGTCTTAAATTGTTTCTTTATATAAACATCAATAAGGGTAATGGCAACAAGCAGTTGACTGAATAATTTACATCTCTACATATTACATGCATTATGTTCATTAAGTATTGCTAACTTTGGTTACTTTGTATTTAGGGGTTTTTTTATAATCAAGTGTCTGTCTCACAAATAAGGAGAATTGAAAATAAAGTTAATCGTGGTTGCACTCTTCTAGATGTTCCTAATATGTAAACTCACATTAACATCCAGAGGGGCTTTCACCAGCACAATTTATTGCATGTCTTGTCTTCGTCACTTTTGCACAACATAGCTAACATGCTCACATTTATATGAATCAGCCAGCCTTTGTTGGACGCAATTTTACATGCTCTTAAAGGAGCAGTGCGTAAGATGTAGGAGGATTTTGTGGAACCTAGTGGTGAGGACTGCAGATTGCAACCATCAGAAATTTCTCGCAGTTAGTGTCAGTGTTCATTGTTCAGGAGGTTTTTTCTGGTCGCCGAATTATTCACAGAGGTCTCCTCCTCTCCAGAACGGACCGCATGATTTAATTTCATATTAGTTTCATGGTGATCCTGCTTGTCTCCGTATTGCCTTTCCCTCCGTTATTACTTGCCATGGCGCTTCGTGGCACATACGCAATTGTGGCTGTGTGCTTTATCTGCCCTTTACTCTTGCTCCAGAAGAACATGAAGATGAAACATACGCTCACAGAGCTGAAAAATGAAACAAACCCGATGGTTCCAGCTACCAGTAACGTCTTGACATCAAATGGGATATTGTGATTTCCATTCACACCTGGAGAGGCAGAGGGAAAGGCAAACCATCCCTTAAGACGAAGGGGGGTTTTAGAAGATGGTGGAAAGGCTCGGACATGAAGGCTGACGGACAGGCTGTCATTTCCTGCCGCGTTAGATGCCACACAGAGATAAGCACCACTGTCTTGAGGTTGAGCGTAACGAACCTCCAGCGAGCCATTAGAGAGAGCTCGTATTCTACCAATGGGTGATAGAGGTTTTAACTGTGGGCTGATCCAGGTGACAGATGGCAGAGGGTCACCTTCTGCATTGCAATCAAACACCACAGTGTGTCCTTGATCCACTCTCACTTCTGGAGGTTTTTGGTACAGAATACGAGGCTGTCGACATGTGAGCAGGCCTGGGAGCTCGGCTTCAGTAAAGTCCAGAAAATACCAGCCCTGCAACTGAGCTGAGGTAGTGCAAGTCGGTGAATTTCCACCAAAGTCCAGATATGGTCGTCTTTGCACTACCCACAGCAGACGGCAGTCACACGTTAGTGGGTTGTTATCAAGCCCCAGAGTTCTTAGGGTGTCCACTGAATGGAAAGCTCCTACCTCCAGTGTGGTGAGAAGGTTTCTGGATACATTCAGCAATCTGAGATGAGCCAGACCCCTGAATGCTCCGATTTCGACACGCAGCAATGATCCCCCCACCAGATGAAGCTCTTGGAGCCGGAGCAAGTCTTCAAGCAGGTTCCCATGAATGTAGGCAATTGGGTTAAAAGAAAGGTCAAGGTAAACGAGATATACAAGATGATGCAGAGGGATGTATGGGACAGCACTGAGGTTACAGTGTCTTATGGTGAGAGATGTAAGGTTCAGGCCAAAGAGACTATTTCCTGACAGGGTCTCCAGCCAGCGGCAGTGCGAAATGACAAGCTCCGTAAGGCGCTCTAAATGACGGAAAGAGTAGTTTGGCAGCATGTTGAGGCCCAGTCGGCGAAAATGAAGTCTTCTCAGTCCAGTTAGCTGTGCGAGCGCCTCCGTCGGCACAGCAGTGAGGTTGCAGCCATCAAGATGCAGCTCTTGCAGGCTGGTTAAGCCAATGAAAGCTTGACGAGAAATGAAAACAAAATCATTATCTGCTGCTTTGATAAACTGCAGGGCCGATAAGTCACGGAAAGTAAAATCTAGAAGAACAAGGATCTCATTACTGCTTATGTCCAGTAACTTCAATTTTGGCAGACCAGCAAACACGCCCACAGGAATGATTTTCAGGTGGTTGCGAGCAAGGCGCAGAGTTATCAGACTTTGCAAGCCGAGAAAGGCTTCCACTTCAATTATCACCATTATATTATCACTCAAATCCAAGTCTATGAGTTGTGTCAAAGTCTGAAACTGCTGGTGCACCAGAGTCTTGATCTTATTATGTGTTAAGTTTAGCAGTTTTGTGTTTTGCGGGAGACCGTCGGGCACTGTGGTAAGCTGGCCATCGGAGCAGTTCACCTCCAGCAGCACGGTGTTGCAGCGGCAGAGCTGCAGACACGGCCGGCGTGTTTCGGATGTTAATGCCACCCCCACTGCCAACAAGTAGAGAGCTCCCAAGCACAGCCAATGGTGGACAGCAACCCCCTCAAACATCTGGTGGCTTGCCTGCATGTGTGTGAGAGAGAGGGAGAGAGAGAGAGAGAGAGAGAGAGGGAGATGTGAAAAGACTGATTTACTGACATCAGTAAAAATGGGGGAAACATTCTGCAACAGAAAAAGGCTGACAATGTTCAGGTTTGGCTAACTGAAACTGAAAACAACCGTTTTGTTTTAAAGGGTAAATTCGGCATTTTTTTTAAACCATGTTTTTCCCATATTTTTGTGTGACTAATGAGAACAGCAATTTTTGAAATTGGTCCAGTATTGAGCGAGAGGGCTACAGGCTGCATTATAATCACTGTGGGCATTAATGCAGTCGTCAAAGTACGCCCAATAAAAGTTTGTCTTTGTCACTGACGGGCTCAGATTGTTATTCTTCGTGTCTGACATCATCGTGTAAAGGATCACTACAGAGACAGACCTTTTGTAAAGAGTAACATCCTTTTTGTTTTACCAGAAACAGCCCCTAGGTCGCTATCACCAAACCAACCAGACTCCATTTAAATTAACAGTAATTTCAGCGTGTCTGGAGCCAGTCAATTTTCACATCTAACTGGGTAAATTCAGGGTTAATTATAACCGAACCAGACTCTGATTTCTGGAACAGTAGAAAGACGAACAAAGACAGCTTCTTGGAGTTTTATTTTGTCTTTGTCAACTGTGAATGAAGTGTGTTTTATGATGCTAAAATGGAGTCTTGTGAGGTTGGCGATAGCAATTTCGGGGCTGTTTCTGTTCAATCAAAAAATGTCTTACTCTAAAACAAAAAGGTGTATCTGTGTAGGCACTTAGAATAACAATCGGAGCCTGTCAGTGGCAAAAACAAGCACTTTTAGAGGAAGTAAAATAACGCTTCATAAATGTCGCAAGTGATTCCTTTGCACCCTGTTGCAGCATTCTCACTTAATGCTGGACCACTTTCAAAAAATGTTACCATGATTCACTTAGACACAAAAATATCAGTCGATAAAATACAGGTTTAAAAATACTGAAGTTACCCTTTAAATGTTTTTTTCTCAACTCTTAGATAACAGGAAGTATATTTTCATAACCAGACAGCTGCTGATGCAGGGTCTTGTCTTCATTAAAAGGAAAAAAGGCAGAAAGCCCAGGAAGATGTGGGCAAATGTTGTCAGATGGTGATACTGAATCATCTTTGTCAAATTATGAATATCAATGGTTTCAGTTTGTGTTTATGTTGTTTACAGTGCTGCAATAATCCAGGATGAGCTACACAGGTAAAGTCTTACACAAAACCAAATCAGTCTTTAGAAAGCAGGTAAAAACTTCACTCTTCTGGCTTTCTTTTGATTTTATGTCTTTTATTTTATGGCTTGTGGCTGCACTTTGTTCTTCTTAATCTTCTTAATTCCTCTTAAATACACCTCTCTTACATTTTCTTCGTCCTGTAAAGCATTTTGTAACTTCTGTTTTAAGTGTTATAAAGTAAAGTTAGTAAATGGGCCTCTGAGCTTATGTTATAATGTTACTCATTCTGTTCCCAAATGACAGGAATGAACTTGGTATTCTCTGCAGTGATAACGTATACACAAATGATGGTGTTGGCACCACACAAAAGTCCACACATAGGCCTATAAACACAATAGAAAGAACAGGTTGTCTGTGTTTTTGTTTATTGATGCTGTTTGAAAGCAGAAATAGAGGGAAAGTGTAAACCTGCACTATATGAGGCATCACATGGAGGACTTAACCACTCAATTATCTGTTCTCAATTATTGTATCGGTTTCTCTCTGGGCATATTATAATGTCAGAGGAACACATATTCCCTGGCATTTATTACAGTCAATATTGTATATTTCGTTTATCTAGATACTGTGGTTACTGTGAAAGCAGATTGCAGGCTGAGAAGATTATTTGGACATTTTTGGCTATTGGTAGACTTGGGATCTACTGGATACTATTTTGGTGTGAAAGATTGTGTAATAAAGGGTAATAAAGAGATGATCAAGAATTCATTTTGCTCTTTTCTTGGTCTTTTTTTCCATTTTGCATAATTTCCTGTTCGATGCAACATGTGAGATTTGTGCAAAAGATGTGTATACCAAACCAATATCTACATGATCACAAATGGTCTCTTTAGTTAAGGTTTACATTATGAGGTATTTTCTTGAAGCTCAGATCTAAAATGATGTGACATGGACGGTTGCCACAGATCATGAAAAGCTCTCTTTATTTTATCATTGTTTAATCCACCACTAGAGGGCAGCTAAAGCAAAAATATATTTGTGAACAGTATGTCCAATTCTAGTTTGTTTGTTTTTTTAACTGAGGAGTGACTGAAACTGAGAAAAATCAATATCAGTAATCCCCTGAGAGCTCCACAACTAATTCATACATCAATTTAGGTTTGATTCACTGTATGAACATGTAAACAGGCATCATAAGAATATGAGGCAGCGAACCAACTGTAAGCCTGTGAAAGTGACTAAGGGATCAGCTCATCAAAAAACGTGTGACTTGCTGAAATGCGCAGGTTAAATTGCCAGGAGAGCGCTGGAAATAAAACCACCTTAAAGTGTGATTTCACCCTGAGCTCTCCTCACATGTTGTTGTGCTGAGCGACGCAACACTATAGAACATGTGAGAAGAGGGATGGAGAGAGGCAGACAACACTGGGACTGATTTCCCTATGTATTTGTAATAGAGGCCAGTGTTGTTTTGTAATGTTGTTTAGTTTGCTTTCACTTTTGTGTTGTCATATTATTCTCTGTATGTTCATTTTCATGTTCCCTATGACATTAGGTAAAGGTTTCAAACAAGCCCACCTGTGTTTCTGCCTCTCCCTGCACTGAATATTTATACTGTCTATAACTGACTGTTTATTATTTTTGTACTTTTGTGTATTTTAAATTGTGCAAAACAACACATACATGTAAAATATAAAAGTATGCATACTCACTAAAGCAAAAAAAAGCAAATTTAGTGTCTTTTTTTTTGCCTTTCTTTGCAAACTGATTCATGTGACTTATTTAACGTCTACATTTCAAAGAGTTTCAAAATTATTTTACATTTAAATATTTTTTTTTAAAAAAAGTGGTCACCTTCAAAACTCCACCTACAAAGTCTCATTTTCAAAAGAGAAAACCATCTCTCAGATCATGTTTTTAAGGTGGTATTTTCATCTCAACACAGCTATGGGTACGGAGCTGGGGAATACTGTATCGTCTGACTGCTGGTGATGACAGCAGCTCCCCAGAGCATTCAGTGATGGAGGCTGACTCCTCCTGAACTCCTCTGGGAGCACACACGCTAGAGAGAGAAAACAGTGTACAAAGGTAAAATCACAGTTATTTACTGTGGCCCGGCACCCTCAAGATACACAGATACAATGGATGGTGTTATAAAAGGCTCCGAATTACAGTGATCTTGTGGCAAAAAGCAAAAGTAACTCAAGTCTTGTAACTCACCGTCTCTTCAGTCTGTAGGGCTCGTCATTGTGATAGCTCCAGTTTCACAATTTTGAGGTAAAAAAAACAACAACCAAAAAATAAGAAAGCATATTTGCATGTGTGATTTTTCTTTCTGAAATTGTCTCTGGATAAATTGTTGATACAAGCAAAAAGAATTCAAAGAGCAGAGTACATCTTATTGCTCTGTCAGGTCCACCTCAGAACCCTCTGTTGCTCAGAAATACATCCAAATGAAGCCTGCAATAGGAGAGAAACACACACACATAACACAACAAGAGAGCTTCATCCTCCCATTCTGAAGTATTCAACTCCGGAGGCAGCGTGTTACTGCAGCTCGGTTCCCCTGTTGCTTCGCTGTCCTCATGGCAACAACAACCTGGCTCTGGACGCAGCGTGCTCGGTGCATGCTGGGGGATTATATACACTAGCTCCTGGACCCCATCCAACACACTGCACTGGATGACAGGAGGCAGGCACACAGGTCAGCCAAATGAAGAGATTTTGGCGCAAACACCAGATGGGAATGAATTTAAGCACTGACGTTTAAAATAAAGGAATATCTTTTCAGCTTTCTGGTGTGTCAGAGCCATTTGAAAGTTTAACAAAGACACACTAAGTGTTTGATTTGTAAAGTCCTGAAGGGTGGTGTTAAAACAATTTGTCCAGCCTGTCAGATGTTTGGATCTTTTTTAAGTTTAAAATTCTGCTGAATTAGCTATTCTTTTAGTACTAAACTTAACCACAACTCAATTCTGTCATGTCTTCAGTTACTGGGTCTGATTTATACAAATAATCCTGAATCAAAGATGGCATCAAACCTCAAACACATAAAAACAACTACATCTGAAAAGGTGGCCATGACACAAAATTACTACATAGCATGCAATAGTGAATGATGAATAACTCTGAATACTTGATGGCAAAGTTGTTCTCCAGTCCCTAAAGGCTGGCAGTTATAAACAGGTCATAGTTTCTCTTTATACAATCTTATTAATGAATGCCAATATGGCAACTCACTCATCCTCTCTTTTAGTGTTCATGTCAGACTCAGACTCTGCTTGTTCCCTGTGAAACTAAAGTAGAAAATAGAAATGTCCTGTAAGACAAAAGGGGATCAAGACAGAAAAAAAGAAACACAAGGTCATATAAAGACACATACAAATAGGATTTTTAAGGTTCTGTAAGCAACATTCAGAGCGTTAGCAGCATACAGCAGCAAACCACTATTTACTATGCAAAGATATGATGAGGTAAAAGAGTCATGAGCAGAGAATAAAGTCACGCCCCCTCTCTGTGTTGTAATCCGAGCTTCTCTGTGGTTTGTTGTGGTAAACAAGCCCCGTCTCACTCCAAAGTCATCGAAATCCAGTTCTTGGGCAGTGATTTGAGGCATCAGAAACCAATGAAAAAGGCGTCCTTTAACGGTGTAGGTAGCGTCAAGGGGAGACGCAGCGGGGCAAGTACCAAAGTTAAGGCAGTGAAAGTCCAATTGGGTGGGTGGTGTATGGGTCCAACAAACACCGACCTTCACCCGAGAGAGCAGTGTTTGCGTCCCATAAGATTCTTAAGCTAAACCCTGTTCTTTTTTTCCTAAACCTAACCATGTGCTTTTGTTGTTGAAGGAAAAAACAGTCAATTCGCAGTGTTGTACCCACGTAGTGCCTTTATTTTTAAAAACATTGTGTGTAAAAGTTAAATTTCCTGTGAAAATGGAAGTGTATCAACCAATGTACCCAGGGAACTTGCACATTTTCCACGTTGTATGTGGACGTAGAAAGTCCATGACCAAAACGTCAATATGTGACGAGATCGGAGTGAGAATGTGTTGGGTAAACTGTTTCGGCTGTGCATACATGTTAGTACATGTGTCTCCCACTGGCTAGCTCACTGCTGCTGCTTTGCACTGCACTCATACGGTGGTTATTGCTGATTTACAGCCGACATGATATACGGACATGCGTCAGTAGTGTAGTACACTACACATTCTAGCACACTGCACAGTTATTAAAATAAGTTGATTGGCTTTAGGCTTCATACAGGACATGAACACCTGTCTCCCAGGTGAAGGTCCAGAGTTTGTTTGACCCACCCACTTTGACCCCTCCTGCCTGCACCATGGAGACTTTCTTGCTCTTTATGCTACAGTAGTTGCTTGAAGCATCAAAAGTGCCACTGACTAAGCGTCAGTATTTGATGAGTTGGAGGTGAGACCAGTGCTGTGTCTCAAATTGCGTACTTCTGTACTTACACTTAATATTTTGAGTGCATAAGTGCGTTCACACTGAGAAGTATGGAAAAATGCAGTGCACTATGAGTACCTGGATGGTGCACTCAAATCGGTTAAGAAGTTGAGTGTGGATCTATGGACACTTCTCGCCCTCAATGGTTGCCATCTTGGCTACGTAGCGGAAGGGGAGGGACCACTTTTCAAACTGGAAACGGCGGCCGAGGACTGTGCGACCATGAACGTCGCTTCATTGTACAAACACGTGTTTTTTGCACTAAGCACCACTTTACTGTTGTCGGGTATAAGCCAGCAGTATGTTTATTGGGTTAGTTTAGCAGTCTGTAATGATTTGGTAGCGTGAACGATAACTTGAATGCTAATGCTAGTTTGCTAACTAGCTAATTTGCGGTCGTCATTTCTGGTGAGTGCACAACGGCCGTGTTTGGTTTGAGACAACACTACCCTGTCGAAATTTGCACACTACGCCAACAAGTACATAGTGCACATAGTATGCTACATGGAAGTGTACTAACGGAAGTATGTGATTCGAGAGACACCATAGTTTTTATACTGGGATGGCATTGCCGCAGAAGTGAAGTGATTGATATTGACATTGTTAGCTCTGTCAGCATTGTTACTGATGGTAAGCACTGTTAACGAAGTTAGCACTGTTAGCTGCTAGCCGTCAGCTCAGCAAACCTCCATGTTGAGAACCACTCAAACGCTCTAAATTTCATACAGTAACCCTTTAAAAAAAGTGACATCATTTGAGCTAAAAATAAGCAAATATTGAATCTGTCGGGTAAAACTTGAGAATAAAAAGTTGCACATTATATAAGTAAGGTGAATGGGATCCAGACAACAGAAAAATGGATACAAGGAGCTACTATATGAGAAATTAAAGTCTGAGAGTGTGTTTCTGCAGGTCTGACATGAAAACTAAAAGGGTTGAACCTTGGTTTGGAGGAGTCACAGAGAATGCCAATTACTGGGCAAAGTATCAAGGCAGTTTAAAGCCACACTTGCAGGGTGGGCGTTCATAGATGATGTCACTAACAAGGTCCAACAATTGCGATATTTCCACATATTACTATCTGTGAATAATAGACTACATAAATATTTAAATACTTGTGTGTTTCAGTGGTCCCATTTGCTGCGACCCCATTCTCTTATGATTACATAAGAGTGTTTTTAGAACACAGCAGCTGACTCAATTCAAATCTGGCATTAAAACCAATCTATGTAAAGTCTCAGTAATAAGAGGTGGGCAGTAACATGCATTTAAAATTCGCCAACTCTCAACTTTGTTTTCCTTTCCCCCTGTGACTGAAGGATCTCTCCTCTCATCCCACGCCTTTACAAGACTTAAATAATTGACTGCGAGCCTCATAGATATAACAAGTATAAATTCATTTATGCATTTCTATATTTGTGATTTGGCTGCTCTCTATGCCCACACTACACTACTCTATTTGTTCAGTTGTTTAATTAGCAAACACTCACTCCAGATTTAATGAACGATAGAAAAAAAAAGAACAATCAGAATTGCCGGACTCTCTGCTCAGCTGCAGGATTATTAGGTGTGTCGACACAAAAGGTGCGTGATCACCACAGAAGAAAAGCCACTGCTGAGTCAGGAACTTACCATCTGGTACCTCGGGGATCCTGCATTCATCAGCGAATTTCGGTCCAACCCCGGAAGAGAAAACCAGTGATGAACGCCAATTACAGCCTCGGCCAAATCAAAGCTCCTAATTGCATAATGTCCTCTTGTATTTTTATCATCATAATGCTTCGTCATTGCTGCTCCCTGTAGTTTGACTGCTGTGATGTATTTGGGTAATTCTCTCCCTTTAAGTACTTTTTGGACATCTAATGCCTTCATTAGACAGAGTGCGGTCGAGATCTGACGGGAAAAGGGAGGAGGGAGATGGGGGATGATTTGCAACAAAGATTCTCTGCCAAATTTTACCCAGAGACATTACAAATAACATGGTCAGCATCTTAATGGAGTAGCTTGACATTTTGGGAAATCTGCTTTTTTACTTCTTTTTTTTTGCCTAAAGCTTGATACCACACCATGAAGCTGCAGCCATCAGCCGGTGACCTTAGCTTAGCATAGAGACAGGAAACAAGGGGAAATAGCTTGCCTGGCTGAAAGCTCCAGAGTGTAGGATTTAGGTGAATATGTTTCCATTACCAATGAGCCGTTCGTAGCTACATTTGGAGCAGGTTCCTCGAAGGCCCCAAGGAAGTGAACCAGGCTTTAAAGCTAATTTTCGCATGATGCCAATAGACTTTTGCCTATTAACTTACACGGCGAAAGAGATGTCTGTAAATCAGTGGATACATTTTTAACGTCACAAACTCCGCGGAATGACCTGTATCGCTATCAGGATTTGATCCATTCAGTCCGATAATATTTTGAAAGTCTAGAAGAGCTGCACAATTAAATAAATTTATCCCTGTTTAAGTTAAGTCCCAGTTAATTTTACAAGAATAACAATAGGCTAATAATAAAACTTTATTCCTACAGCACTTTTCAAAACAAAGTTACACAGTGCTTTACCTTGTTGATCCCGGATTTAAAACGATGCAGAATTCAAGCAAATAAATGAAGCAATTCTAAAAAAATACAACAAATAAAACATAAAATAAAGATAAAATACCATCACTGAAGCAGATAAGCAAAGATGGGCAACTAACTGTCTATAGATTGCACTGAGGTACAGAAAATATCAAACAATTAGAGTAATACAAAATGAAAGAATACAAAACTGCTGACACACACATGCACACACAAGATATTCAATAATCACATGAGACATGTATAAAATAAACAGTGTGCTAAAACTAATAAAACAGACATGTTTTAATAAGTGATTTAAAAGATGTCACTGATTCAGCGAACCTCAGATCCTCTGGCGGGGAGCTCCAAAGCCCGGTCACCACATTTTAGAGGCAGCAGTCGAAGCATTTTGGCTTAATGTGCTACTGAGCAGCTAACACAGGAATGAATGAGGCCTTGTGTTCAATGCTGTTTCAGGTTCTCTTAATACTTCCATAAGTCATGGTGCACCACTATATTTCTACAGAAGCCCCAAACAGACAGACCAAACACTAGCCCCTTTTACACTGCCAGATTTTTCGCAAATGTTGGGTCGTTTCGCTGGCAAGCTGCGAGTGTTTAGACACACAGAGCCGGATTGGCAAGTTGATCCGAGGTGCCCAATTTTCCACCTCGTACGGTAGTCATATTGGCGGAACCCTTTTAGTTTAAAAAGACCGAGGCGGCCTTCCGCAACTGGAGGGGCTGTTGAAGACTTGTGGGAGGAGCTGTTGATGACGCTGCACGTGCGAGCCACTGGAGGTTGATAAACAGGAAACAGTTGATAGCAGGAATTAGCGAGCAGCTAGTAGCAAGAGGGAAACGCAAACCTGACAGACACTGTAAAGATGAGCAACTGGGGAGACAAGAAATTGCGTGCCATTAACCGCCAAATGACGGGAACGGTGAAGGACAGGCCGACTTATGAGAGAATGACCAGCCGTTTCTTCCCTCCCATGTCACTGTTTACGTCACACGCTGAGCTACACATTATGTTACTTGCTCACGCCCTCCATTGCCCTGAAAAAGGCACATTCTGTATGAACAAAAGTAGGTAGGCAGCATTTTGCCGCACTCCCCGATTTTGTTTTTATACTGCCAATGCTGAAAAAAGACTGATTGGGCTTTCCTGCAAATTTGCACAATTCCTGTTTTGAAAGGGCTACAGACTCTAGATTTGGTCATTCACTTTGTCACGTTGGCCACCATAGTTAGCAGCCCCTATGCCACCAACAGCATCAGAAAATGACTGACTTGTTAACACGAAACTGCTTTATTCAGCATGTTAACCAGCTGAAATCATGAAATCCATTTGTTCTGCGGATAATTTAGCTCCCACTAAAAACCTGCCAGACACATATCAAAGGAAAAGGNTCTGTCTGTCTGTGTGTCTGTTCCACGTTTTTCTCCTCACTGACTTGGTCAATCCATGTGAAATTTGGCACAGTGGTAGAGGGTCATGGGAGGATGCGAATGAAGCAATATTACATCAATTGGTCAAAGGGGGGGCGCTATAGCAACCAACTGAAATTGCAAACTTTGAATGGGCATATCTCATGCCCCGTATGTCGTAGAGACATGAAACTTTGCACAGAGATGCCTCTCCTCATGAGGAACACATTTTCCTCAGAACCCATAACTTCTGGTTATATAGATTTTCTGCCATTTTGAATTTTTTGAAAAATCGATCTCATCCTAGGAAGTTTGACCGATCTGCATGAAACTTGGTGAACATAATCTAGGGACCAATATCTAAAGTTCCCTCTTGGCAAAAGTTGGAAAACTTACTAAAACTGAGCTTCTATTGCGGAGGGTGTGGCTCATCACATAAAGGTGTATAACATATCAAGGGTTTCACCGATCACCACGCAACTTTGTAGGCATATGACATTATTGACCCGATCAAACAAAATGGGGGCGCTAGAGAGCTAATTTCTTATCTAGGCCTAACCACCATATCGATTTTTACTAAACTTGGTAGATATGTAGAACAGGCCGCCTCAAGGTGACTGGAGAAATTTAACTGTAATTGGCAACTGGGTGGCGCTGTAGCAACAGAAAAATGCTTAAAAATGGCTAAAATGCGACTGATCGCTGTGGCTCCCCCTGTGGCCCAATGTTGGTTTTTTTCCCTAATTTTTGGTATGACTAAGTCATGGTATGACATGCTGTACATAATCATGGAAACTGTCAGTGTGTCATTCTGTCTGTCAGTCATTCTGTCTGTCCCACATCTTTCTACTCACTGATGTGGTCAATCTATGTGAAACTGCACATAGGCATTGAGGACTGACATAGGTAGAAGGTGACAGAACTACTGATGGGTATAGACTAGTTTATTCCAATTTTCTATGAACATACAAGACAGAAACATAAGTTGTCATCTCAAGTTGCAGTTATGTGCAAAAAATAAAATAAAATAAATAAATTAAAGGATATTGGAGACTAGCAACAACCAAAACAAAGAGTCATGCTGAGAGAAAGAAAATAAAAAAGGAAATAAATAGAAAATAATAATAATAAAAAAAAACAAAAAACCTACATACAAACAAGCATACATGAAGCAAAACAAAATGGCACTACTATACTACTATAGTGCATCATAGTGCATTCAAACCTCAATCAGACAGTCCAGAGTTCATTGTTCCCCACCAGAAGCTGTTCACATAGTCTTATAATGGGTCCCAGGTTTTATATAATCTTTTAATTGAGCATCTCATTTTTTCCAGCTTGATGTTCTGCATCTCATCTTTGATCCACTGGCTGTGTGATGGTGGGAAAACATCCTACCATATAAGCAAAATTAAAACGTCTAGCTCATAGGGAAGACAAAGCAATAACCCTCTGTAGATGAGCAGGGAATCTGAGTACACCAAAAATATTAGAGCTGTATGCCTTGGAAGAGGTGTCAAAAAAGGATGACCAGAAAGGGGCAAGTTTTGGGCAAGACCAAAGCATGTGCCGTTTGCCCCTGTCTCACACATCACTTACGTTTGAAAATATTCTTGCAAGCTTAGCTTTCGAGACGTGCAGCCAATGTTGCACTTTAAACTGTATTAATCTCCAGAGACCCGAACTTTTGTTTGGTACGCATTTTTAATTTCTCAGAGCAATTTGGGATCAGTAGGACCAGATAATTCTAAAAACCTAAACATCGTCAACAACAATAAAGTCCCAATGTCCTCAAACGAGACAGTAATAAAGTTACAACCTCTTTAGATGAGTACTTCCTGATTAACAGTGTCTTAGCTTGTTACTGTTGCTAAAATTGGTCAAATTTGTTGCCATATCAAACTACAAATATTATTAATCATAAATAAACAAGTTTCAATCATAAAATGTGATCAGATTTTGGACCTTGTCCACTTTTGTGTCGGGATCAGCTGCAGACTGACTTGGCAGAGATGGCTGCCATCTTGATTTTACATGGATTTGTGTATTGTGCTCTTACTACCACTAGATGGCACAAAAAAGTGTCCACGAACAAGGACAACAGGTCTAAATTAAGTAGAATGAAGTATAAGGTCAAGTCAACCCAAAATATGATGTACACATATGAGGACACAGGGTCTCAGAAGGTATATAGAGGAGGAGAGAACCCTACAAAGTGCCATGTCCCGCTCCTCGTCTGACAGTTGGACCCCTAGATCATTTTCCTATTGTTCTCTACTGTGGGATAAATGTTGTTATTTTAAGTCAAGATGACGTTGGCATGAGACGTTTGGAAGACATTCGATTTTGGTTACTTCACAACACATCTTAAAACCAACAAAATATTAACATCATCAGTCATGAGTACTGTAAGTTAGATTGATGTTGGCATTTAATGTTGTTCTGACATTGAATTTTGGCCACCCAGTGTCACAACCTAAATTCAACTAAGTATCGATGACTAACAATGTTGTTGGCAGCTGGAATGTGAAATCCAACAATATGGGGCACTGGTGGCTTAGTGGATAGAGCAGCAGCCTGAGTTTGAATAATTTCTCAATTTATCACAAAATTTTCCATCAACAGTTTTATTTTTCTCATTTTTTTTCTCCACAAGCAGTTTTATTTGTACGTATATCTATCATGTAACCTTTGTCACTTCCACCTCTGGTATTGGAGGGGTATTTTGGGCCCCTGCAGCTGGTTGTAAATTAGATTCACATGACGAGCCAGAGAGCAGACGCACGGAAAGACAGAGTGAAAAAAAACAACCCGCAGCATGTGGTTGAGGAAACTATACTTCCTCTTTTGAGAGTGATGGTCCGTTGAAAACGGGTACACTTTCTTGCCGGAACACAACAACCTGCTGATTTTTCTGCAACGAGGTAAACACAAACTAATTCTTCTTGTCTGTATTTGAATGTTAAGATTGTTTGGCTGATATTCTGAGTTGAGATCAAATGTTTGTCGAAGCAAATGGTTATAGGGTGTGTGTGTGTGTGTGTGTGTGTGTGTGTGTGTGTGTGTGTGTTGTGAATAAACAGGATAAAGTGGGTAGATCAGATCTGCTGAAGCTCAGACAGTGAAACAGGTTTGAACTTTAACATTTTCTGCTGCAAGTATTTACTTTGACAATGACGTTTTACAGGCCTCACTTTGCTCTCTCGGGAATTTGGGGGTTTTATTAACCTGGAAGAGTTTACATTCTACAACTGAAGAGCAACACTTGGTGGATATTTTATAGGCTAACTACAGTATTATTTTCAAGTATATATTTTATAAAATATATTTAAATGTGATCCAGTATTTCCCAATTAGACTTTTATTCTTTAAAATCACCATTTAGCCCATCATGTTAGTAAACAGGGCGGCACGGTGGTGTGGTGGTTAGCACTCTCGCCTCACAGCAAGAGGGTTGCTGGTTCGATCCTGGGCGTGGGAGCCCTTCTGTGTGGAGTTTGCATGTTCTCCCCGTGTCTGCGTGGGTTCTCTCTGGGCACTCTGGCTTCCTCCCACAGTCCAAAGACATGCAGATTGGGGACTAGGTTAATTGTTAACTCTAAATTGTCTGTAGGTGTGAATGTGAGCTTGATTGGTTGTTTTTCTCTATTTGTCAGCCCTGTGATAGTCTGGCGACCTGTCCAGGGTGTACCCTGCCTCTCGCCCGATGTCAGCCGGGATAGGCTCCAGCCCCCCCGCGACCCTCAAGAGGATGAAGCGGTTAGAAGATGAATGAATGAATGAATGTTAGTAAACAAGGTTCACCAAAAATATAACAGTGAAACAAAAATACCAACCCAGTCCCCAGAATTATTGTTGGCATTATACTTTCTGCAAAGCACAGTTATGTGACATTTGTATGTTGAATATTTAGCAGATATGTTGTAACTTTACATTTTAATTTCATGTTGTAACAACAGTGTAGTTAATGTGAGGTTAGGTCTAGGTGTAACCAGTGGACTCTAGTGTAGATATAAAAAGGCCAGGACAGTGGGTATCTCAATTAAGCACAATGAAACAGAAAACATACCTGACAACAGGTAACAAAAATCCTCCGTCATACACAACATACAAGCTCAGCCCCGACACAAATTAAGCGACACCAGATTATGTTAGCATAAAATGAATCATAGCTTAACAGCGCTAACACATGGAATGTCTTATCTCTCCCATGGAGCACAGCAGCAAAAGGGGAGGCAAGGCAGGAGACACCCCTTTATAGGTGGGGTACCCCCAAAGGTGAACGTAGGGGGTAGAAAAAGTGGTTATCATTTGACTTTGTCACACATGTTACTGCTGTATAATTGACCCTGTTACATTGGCACAAAAAAAGACTTAGGAAAGGATCATGTAATGACTTAAAATATTTACTTTGGTGGCTACAAACATGACTTGAAATGCCCCGACGTGCCATTAAAAAACACCCGTCTCAAACAGCGGTCTGCTGCTGTCTGCGCTTGGCAGCCATCTTGCTTGGGTGTCACAACATCCACCATGTCCTCCTTAGTGATGGGCAAAGCAGTTATTTAGATGTTACTGAATCACTAGAATTAGTTCATTAAAAAGATTTGTTCAAAACATTCATTCACCGAATCGTTCAGTTCAGTCAGAGCCCTGACTGTGTACTGCGTAGTCCGACTCACTGAACTGATACATGGCCGAGCTGCTGCCGCGTCTGCCCTGCACTGGTGAGTCTCATTACTGGCCAGCCTAACGTTTTAAGTTTGTTTATCTGGAAACTATGTCTGTTAAGACAATGGGGAGGTGTGTGACTGTGTTCATGTGGCTTGACCCCTGGCTACATTAGCCGTTAGCTTGGAGAAAATGGTCCCTATGAAAGTGTATCGCTGAGAAGACATGATTTGAATCGGTCACTGAGTGATTCGTTCACGGAGTGATTCGTCACGCGGTAGGCAGTCCCTCCATGCACCCTGGCTGCCTCATGACTCGCAAGTGATTCATCGTTCGCACGGACCGAATCGGCAGTTCCACTCCCTGCCTGCACGCTAGCTGCTGAGCTCAACTGAACTGAGAAATGCATGAATCAGTTCCGGAAGTGATTCAGTTCAGCACATTTACTCAACAGATTCATTCTTTTGAGTGATTTGTTCGCCAATGACACAACACTAGTCCTCCTCCTCTTGATAAGAAACTCAACACATATACAGATATGTAATCTGAACTATGTCATATGTATAAAACGCACAAATGTATCATGTCCGTGCAGAAACATACCAACATTTTTTTGTGGTGACTGAGCTGGAAATGCAACGCAAAGTTCAGACTGTATTTTCTGTGTCTGGTTGAAAATTTTGGGGACTCACAACCTCAGTTTTTCAAGGCTATGGCCCTGATAGTGTGGTCCATAAAATGAAGTGAAATCCTGAAAAATGCCATAGTGTCCCAAAACTCAAGGCTGCATTGCTTATTTTGTCTGACAGTTAAAAAATCTTTAGATATTCAGTTTATTATTAGACAATGACTAAAAATAAAGTTGCTCTTTCTGATAATGAATTTAACTGATTAGTTGGCTAATTGTTTAAGTTATAGTAAGAATTACATACAGGTCATCTACTCATAAAATGTGACCTTTTTTATTTTGTTTTTCTCAGGATGCACCTTTTTTGCGCCGTGCTACTTTTGGCCTCTCTGGTCCTTGGACGCTCTTCGTCTGCCTTAAATAAAGTGTGGGACGAGTGGCAAATCAAACATGGCAAGGTTTATGATAACCAGGTAGGATTATGAAAACCTTTATGTCTCAATCTTCATCATAATACACACTCATTCACACACACATATATACCCTCAGGTAACTCAGTCTGTTTTTGTTTCAGACTGAGGTTGTATTCAGGAGGGCAGTGTGGGAGAAGAACATGCAGTTGGTGTTGAGACACAATCAGGAGGCCTCGGCAGGAAAACACAGCTTCACCATGGGGCTCAATCATCTGGCCGACATGGTGAGAATCACACTTTGCGTTTTCAGTCTATGCGATCCCAAACTAGACAGACATGTTTAAAATCTTAGTCTGGAGTATTTTATCAGTAACATGCGAATGTCCTCAATGCAAACAGACAAAACTGCACAAGGTTGCATCAAAGCAAGAATGTAGGTTGACAAATCCGAAGCAATAATTCCACTAATTACCAATAATATGTAGACAACTTATTGAAATACGTATTTGCTCGCATCATATTACAGATGACTGATAGTAATCCAGGATGTTTTTTCTGCTGTTGCTTGGCTGTGGGCTGCTGTGAGTGCGAACCTGGCTTTCTGTTTTTCCTACACACAGCCGCCTCTGCTGCGAGCAAACTAGTCTTTGCGTTACTCGCATCTGTCAGCATGTTTTTTGTAATTTTCATTTTCATTTGATTCTCTCTGCCCTGTTTATGCATTTTGCTTGATTTTGATTTCTTTGCTTTTTTCATGTATTTATTGTTAATTTGTTTCTTGTGTCTTCCTTCTTTCAATATTTCCTTCTTACTTACTTCTTTGTCTACAATGACCTGCATCATCCCTGAGCAGCGACGTGAATAACTGCCTTTATTTTGCTTATCTTTATGCTTTAAACATGAATACAGTCAACAGTTTGAGATTATTGGTTGTACAGTTTACTTATAGAGAACCTCATCAAGCGAACTGCTGCCAAACTGAGGCTGTCCTTCAAACTGCAGTACCAGAGTGGAGCGCTCACACATTGACCATGCTACTATGTAGGACAGACATGTATCAGAGAGATCCCTGATGGATACACACTGCATGACAAACATGTCAGCACTGAATACTCATTATATCACTGGCTCCTCTCCCTCCCAGGAGCTGTGCCGACATATGCGTGACATTATAACCTAAAGTGGATTCACACTCATTGACCTCTGAAGACGGATCTCGCTGACCAGCACTGCATTTAAACCTGCACCCTCTGTGGCTTAAATTAAACCGTAACCTATAGAGCAGCTCTAATCTTCCTTTATACAATCTGATTATTTTAATCTGGTATGGCTGGGCCAATCTGGACAATCAGTACTATTATAAAGCAGAGTGCATCTGGGAAGTTACATAAAAGGTAAACATACATGCATCGTAGTAATAATGTCTGGGATATAAATAGAATAACAGAACAAATGTGGAGTGAAGGTTCTGTTTTATTGTTGTGTGCCATTGTGGCAAATTCAGTCCGAGAAGAAAAATCTTATAGTATATATAAAAATAGTATATTAATTGTGCATTTTATATGAAAAACAGGTCCAGTGTTCAGGATTTAGAGGGATATATTGGTATAAATGGAATATAATATAACTAGTATGTTTTCTTTACTGTATAATCACCTGAAAATAAGAATCATTGTGTTTTCGTTTCCTTAGAATGAGCCGTTTATATCTACACAGGGAGCAGGTCCTCAGCTACAAAGTCCACCATGTAACCTCTTTGCGACAAGAACATTGAAAATATACTGATTTTTCACATGAAACTGCTTTACTTAGGCCATTCATCCATCCATCCATCCATTTTCATCCACTTATCCTGAGGTCACAGGGGCAGCAGGCCAAGCAAAGCACCCCAGACATCCCTCTCCCCAGCAACACTTTCTAGCTCCTCCTGGCGGACCCCAAGGCGTTCCCAGGCCAGATGAGATATGTAATCCCTCCAGCATGTTCTGGGTCTGCTGCGGGGCCTCCTACCAGTGGGACGTGCCCGAAACACCTCCAGCGGGAGGCGCCAAGGAGACATCCTGATCAGATGCCCGAACCACCTCAACTGACCCCTCTTGATGCGAAGGAGCAGTGGCTCTACTCCAGCTCCCTCCCTCCTCACCAGCCACCCCGAGAAGGAAACTCATTTCGGCCGCTTGTGTCCGCGATCTCATTCTTTCGGTCATTACCCAGGGCTCATGACCTTAGGTGAGGGTTGGGACGTAGATGGACCAGTAAATCGCCCATCCATCTCACACTCCATTCTACCCTCACTTGTGAACAAGACCCCAAGATACTTGAACTTGCACACATTTGCAGGTGCTGGCTGTGACAGTTCAACATGCAGAACTCGGTGCTTTCACAGGTTTTTAACATCTGGTTCATTTGTTCTGGAGAAGGGGAGACTTCTGTTGATAATTCAGCTCAAGGTGAAAACCCTCTGAACAGTGATCACTGAAGGAATCGTAACCGGGAGTTCACATTTGGCACATGGGAGAAATTTCAGCTGGTTGCAATGTGCCATCCCCACTGCTAGATGCTAATAAATCCTACACATTAACTACACAAATAAATACAGCAGTAAAAGCCAGCTTCTTCCAACTCTGCACCATTTCTGAAATCAAGCCATCTCTCTCCCTCAAAGACCTGTAGATAGTCACCCATGCTGTCATCTCCTCCTGTTTAGACTACTGTAACTCTGTGCACCGGTATTAGTCAGTCCTCTCTGTCCGGCCTCCAGCTGGTTTGGAACATTGCTGCCAGAATCCTCACAGGTACACGGAGGAGAGACCACATCACACCTGTTTAAGCCTCTCTCCACTGGCTGTCTGTATGTATGTTTCAGAACTGAGTTTAAGGTTCTCCTGTTTGTGTACAAAGCCCTTAATGGTCTGTCCCCATCCTACATCACAGACCTCCTAACTCCCTACGCCCAGGTCCCTCAGGTCAGCTGTCCCATGCTCCAGACTCAAGATCAGGGGTGATCGTGCCTTTTCTGTGTCTGCTGCATTTGAAGATATCATCAGAAGGCAGAGTTTTATTTTGACAATGCAGATGATAGGAAGCCTGATCAGTGAACCCTGTGTCAGTGTGATGTATTGACTCTCTGCAGGATTCTTGCAGTGATCCCAGAGGACAGTGTGTTATAGTTGCTTTGGAAATAAATATCAGGACAGGTAAAATGCTTGTTACTTTATTTATTTATTTTTTTAAAAAAAGGTTTTACAGAGGTGTTGATAAGTACAGCAAGTCAAATCCGACACCAACACAACAGGACCGTAGAGCAAAAAAGGAGAAGAAGTGAATGCTGGACCTGCTGTGGTGTTAAAATGAATAAATTAAAATCACACGGGAACTGTGGTCTAATTTGTTCTCTTTCTCCAAAAAAGAGAAGTTTAAACTTGATGCAGGGGAACTTGTGGTTTATTTTATGATTGCCTCCTTGCGTCACCAAGGCCGAGTGACGACATGTGCAAAAACATAAAAAAAACATCTTCCAAAAATGTGAAACTGAAACTATTTCTAAATGGGGCCGCAGTGTGGTGAGGGACTGGAAAGGTGGAGCACTGTATATGACCAGTTGTTTCTCAGAGTAGTTTCATTGCAAAAACCTTTGAGGGGAACTTTTAGAAGAGGAAGATAAATTTGCAGCACACTGACCTTAAACATACACATTTTTTTTTTCTATCAAGACAGCTGAGGAAATCAATGAGAGGATGAATGGCCTGAAGCTGGAGGAGCCTGTTAATTTCAGCAATGTCACTTTTAAGGAAGCGAGTGGTTTATCAATACCTCAGAGTGTGGACTGGAGGAAGAGCGGCCTGGTCAGCCCCGTCCAAAACCAGGTAAGCAATGATCAGCTATTTTCGAATGAGGACATAAGAAAAGATATAACTGGTGGCATTAAACATGATGTCTCTTTTAAAAGGGGTTGTGTGGGTCCTGCTGGGCCTTCAGCTCTTTGGGAGCTCTTGAGGGGCAGATGAAGAAGACAACAGGTGTCCTTGTTCCCCTGAGCCCACAGAACCTGGTGGACTGCAGCACCAGAGATGGAAATCATGGCTGCAACGGAGGATACATCTCTAAAGCCTTCAGCTACGTCATCCGCAACGGAGGCGTAGACTCAGAGAGCTTTTACCCCTACGAACACCAGGTCATCTTCTGCACCAGTGAAAACAGCAGTTATATTAAATTAATTGGCAGGGTTTTTATAGAAAGATTAACCTTACATACAAACATGCAACTACTAACATTTTGTTTTCTTCTTGTTTGTTTGTTGTCTTGCTGTCTGTATTTATTTCAGTTTTTGCAGTTAAGACGTTCAGTATTTTCAGAGTCTAACAGACAAATTTAAGACATCCCTGCCTTAGCCCTTCCATGTAGGCGCATGGAAGGGCAGGGAGGTTTGCTCTCTCTGCCTCAGGCTTTCCTCATTTGCATGTGGAAGGGCAGAGAGGTGTGCTCTCTCCACCTTATGCTTTCCATGTAGGCACGTGTGTTGTGTATTCAGGTACTACTCCACAACGCTAGGCGTCGCTGTAGACCAATAAATGCTGTGTTGACTATAGTCTGCCATGTTATGATACAAAGAAGAAGAAGGGTAAAGTCTGAGTGAAGTTCATGCCGGATTCTTGCTGCCTTATTTTCATTGCTAAATCTTCCTCTTGGTGATTAAATGAGCACACAACCGTGTGGAAGAGGCTTTCTGTGTAGGCCTGAGGAAAGGCAGAGGGGCCCCAAAACAGAGCCATGCAGCCAAATATAATACTGTAAATGGAAATAAAGTTTCTGTGAGCTGGAATAGTGTGTTGACAGATGCATCAAATACACATCAAAACAGACCTGTTTTTGCAGAAGTTACAGTGTATGAGAGCTTTAATTTGCAGATTAATATTTACACAGCATATATGTATTGTGAATGCAGTAATCATGTACATAATTTATTATATAACATTGTGATTTGATTTATATCCAACTATATAACACAATCAAGACAAATAAGTCCCATAAAACATGCATAATATTTCCCAGTTTGATTAAATACTAAAATACTAAAGATTTGGAATATCTCGTTTCTATTTGTAGAATGGGAAATGTCGGTATTCTGCCAAGGGAAAGGCCGGCTACTGCTCTAATTTCCACATCCTCCCACGAGGAGATGAGAAGATTCTGCAGGCCGCAGTAGCGTCAGTGGGGCCGGTCGCTGTGGCCGTGAACGCCATGCTGCAATCTTTCCATCTCTACAGAGGAGGTGAGGTTTCTGAATGTGAGGAGCTAATGCAGAAAGACATCTGGTTTTGGTTTGAGACACACTTGAGAAAACTACAGTTGAAGGGATAGTTGAGATTTTTTGAAGTGGGGTTGAATGAGGTACAGTAGATGTCAGTCTGCACACCTCCAGTTGTGAGAAGCAGGATAAAGTCCGACATTGAAGCTAAACTGCTGTGGATGGGTCAGCAACAAAACGTATTTTAGCCACCTGAAATAAAGTCACACCAAATAAATTAATACCAGTCTAAGTGTACACTACATTGAGAATATTTTCACGGTTTAACCTTGCCATGAAACAGCTAACATTACACTTATTTTACATCAGTAATTGCTGTGTTTCCAGTGGCTTTTTTAGGCACGACAAGCAGATGGTTTTACTGTGATATCACTGTGTTTCCTGCTAGGATTGTGCCCCCACAAACTGGTATTTTAAGTCAAAGCATGATCTTTTTCAAACCCTAACCAAGTGGTTTAAGTGCCTAAATCTAACCACAAGCTAACCGACGCCAAGTTTCAGTGTATCCACCGAGACAACATTTTTTCTTGTGAGTGGCTTGTAACATTATGCATCTTTTAGGTTTATACAACGCACCAGGCTGTAACCCAAAGTTCATAAATCACGCTGTCCTAGTTGTTGGCTATGGCACAGACGGAGGACAAGACTTCTGGCTGGTGAAAAACAGGTGAATTTGTCTCTTCCTGCAGGACTTAAAATGTTTTCCCCACATATGAAAATAAATGTATGACAAATATTACATATTAAATGTGAATGCTTTTGTGATTCCAGTTGGGGAACTGCGTGGGGAGAAGAAGGCTTCATTCGAATTGCCAGAAACAAGAATAACCTCTGCGGCATTGCCAGTTTTGCAGTCTACCCTTCATTGTGAAAATGTGATGCGTCACTTGAATCATCTCATTAGAATTAGGTTATTTATTCAGCATCAGAGAGCATATGTTTGTTTTCATTTTTAGTGACGAAACTGTGAAAAAAAGTTAAAAATACTGCCAAAAAATAAAGTGTTTAAAAAGCTAAATTGCTGTATCTGCTGTGGTAGCCTCGCTCATCAGTGTTGTGTTGTTTTTTTTTAAATGAATGCTTGTAGTTTCACATACTACAATATAAGCTCTAATCTTTATGTTGTTATCAAATGTTATCAATTTGATATTTATTTAAATGTGGATATTTAAATGTTGGCTTTGTTTTCAGTGTGATACAGGTACCTTTAAGGCTTTAAAGGGCCAGTGTGTAAAATGGGTTGAAAATAGTGACATCAGTGGTCAAATTCTAGATTGCAGGGCTCACTCACTCACCCTTCCCGTCAGGTAAATGACAGTGGCCTCATAGGGACAAAAAGCCTTGCACAGACACAAGTTTTTCAGGAGTAGGTCTATCTAGCGATGAGGTGAATATTTATTTAGAAATCTAAACCATGTTACGATATTGTTAGGAATCCCTCACCAGCAGGAGACCAGAGTAGCGTTCGGGAAAAAGGCCAGTTTATTTGAGCACTCCAAAAACTCCGGTAACACTCCAGGGTGTAAAAGACTCCGTATCCGTATTGAACGTTGAGCATAAATGGGCCTTAATACTGCAACATCTACATTGCAACAGAAGATGTTTAAAGATGGTGGGGATGGCGCAATCTGGAAATACGGAACCGGAAATGCGTTGCTACCAAGCAAACCAATCACAGCCCTCTCGGTCTGTGCTGGGTCTGCGTCGCCTCGACGTGTAGTTACATTTTTGGGGAGGTGCACGTCAGGCTACGCCGGGGGCTATGGCAAGCCTTCTGCATAGCCACGTACCCTACGACATAGCGACGTCGTTGATTTAATGCAGGACCATAAATCAGGCTTTACAGTACCCAGCGGGGCAGCCCTCCCCTCTCTGCTCCACCAATCTCCAGCCCGCACACTGACTGACAGCGTAGCCTGTAAACAGAGCTCAGTTGTTTATTTAGCCTAGCAGTATCTCCGGACTATAGTAGCTGCAATGGACGACTTTGAACTCGATTTTGAAGAGTTTCTTGTAGCGGACACAGACCCAGAGCCATACCTGTTTGAGCCGAAGCATACAGATGAGGAACTCCATGTGTTGGATGCTGAGCGGGCGAGAAGAGAGGCTGAATCCTCCGCTCCCATTTTGCTGCACAGAATGGGATTCGGTGCTACTGCTGCCATCGCTGGGGAGATATATCATCAGGAGGAAAAGCACCGCAGAGAGTGCATCACAAGGAGTGAAGCTGCGTCTTCTTTTCCTCGCAGATGACGGTTCGGGTTCATTCTCTCCTGTTGCGTGGTAAGTGTGGTCCATTCACAAACTTTATAACTAAAAACACTTTTCACTACTCTCCACTGACGAACTACTAACACTCTCTGCTGTTTCCTCCTCCTTCTTCCTTCCTTCCGCTGTCTTCGTTGGTTTATTTATACACGCAAAATGCGTTCTCTGGCTGGCTGGATTGTCCGCTTGGTCTGCCGTACATACATGGCTGCGCAAGATGGCGACCTCTCTAAAGCAAGGCCCTTGCTATATATATATATATATATATATATGTAAAAGCATAATTATAAGGCTACGAAAACCAAACGAATTTTATTTTATAGCCGAAATCAGTTGAAAGCTTGGTGGCGGTGACGTCAAGAGTCATGCGACCGTGGAGTAGTCATGTAGTCCGTTAAAGCCTAACATTAGCTTTTTACTTCTGCCGATCGCATTTAAGCTTCAAATGCGGTATGAAAGGTGTTCATATGTGAAGATTATCTCACTGAACAAAACCTGTAAGTATCATAAACTTGTGTTAGCCATAGATCTTATTTTCTGACATAATCCAAAAGGCAATGCAAAAATCACATTCACTTTCTCTTCCGGGAACCATCGCAATGCTAAACTTTCAGGTTTTGACGTCAGCCCTGGCACACTCTATATCAGTCTATTTTAAGTATCAGGGGGGATTTGGTCATTTTAGCACAGGGCTACCCAGAGCTTTATGATCTGTGCCACAGACGACATTTTAGGCCTAATACTCACTTGAGAAACAACACAACAGAAGATCAGCTCTGAAATTGGGATTTCTGGTAAATAGGTGACAATGCTGATGTGCTCGCTTAGCAACGTCAGGTACAACCTGCCTCTGTGTCCTTGAAAGTAGGCACAGAGTAGCACCTAGCGCCCAACCTCACATTTCCTGGCAGTAAAAGACACAGCATGTGTCCCAGCCCTATGGCAGAGTAGGGCAGGTCATGCTTTTACAAACTCAGGAAAAACTTGCAGAGTGCTAAACTATAATGGGTTCATTACTGCCACCCTGAGGCCGTAGGAGGTAAAATACCCACTGGTGATTGACAGATCATGAGAGCAGTAGTTGTAGCCATGTGGGTGTCCACAGAGCATGGTTGTCATCAAAATCCAGCACTTGGGCAGTGACTTGCGGTGTCAGAAACCAACGAAAAAAAGGTGTCCTTTACTGTCAGCATGATACGCTGCTGATTGCTGTTATAGTTTATATCAGCACCCGGCAGCATCAGGGGGAAATGTGGCGGGACAAGGACGAGAGTTGAGGTGGCGAAAGTCCAAGTGGGGCAGGCGGAAGGGGTGGTGGATGGGTCCAACAAACACAGACTTTTCAGATTCTAAAGCCAAACCCTATTTTTTCCTAAAACTAACCACTTCGTTTTGTTGCCTAAACCCAACCATGTGTGTTTGTTGTTGAGGGGAAAAAATATGTGTTTATTTTGAAAGAGACTGTATGTAATGCTAAATTTACAGTGAAAATGAAAGTGTATCTTGAAAGAAAAGAACTTGACACAGTGTCCCAGAACATCAACAACCAACGCACCCAGGGTACCTTGCATGTCATATGTGGACATGAAAAGTAGATGACCAAACATCAATATGTGAGGTCGGAGTGAGAATGTGTTGACCCACAAGGGGCAGCGATGAACTCGTACCATACTCAGAATGAACATGGACAAAGAACACAAAGCCGGGATACATGCTTTCTTTAAGTATTTTCAATCAATATTTTTCAGTATTGCGAACGAAACATTTTTAAAGATGATGCCTACAGGGCTGCCAAGTTTCACACAATGACAGTAAGACTCAAACAACTGACACTTTTCATATGCTGTGACACCACATAACCATTTTCTCACATGGTGAAAAACAAATTTAGAACTGATGAGGTCACAGGGCTATTTTATATGAATATTTTAATGATTTTTTTTTCCAAGAACTCTGAAAACTTGGCAGCCCTGTGACTGGCTCAGCACCAAACTTCAGACAGGCACAGTTAGCAACCTGGCTGGTGACAACTGTGGAGCATTTGGCATCTAAAGAGTGAGACATTTCCCTCAGGAGTTGGTAGAGACCAAAAACAGAGCTTAAAGAGAGTGAATGTTGGACTTACATTCACTGGGTGACCAGAAAGATGACTCCAGATGAATGATAATGTTGCTCCATATCTGCTGGATGTGTCCAGTAAATTTAAACTTCAATAGTGATATGTCAGGGTTGTGTTCACAGTATGTTTCTGTTGCCCTCAAATGGCCAAGTCAGTTATTGCAGGTTACATTTTTACAGCTGGGCAGTGAACATAGTGATAGATAAAGACTGTGATCTGCTCAAGTTGGTCATATTTTGCATCTCTGCCATCCAGTGAGTATGACTAACATTACTTTTCACTGCTCACTTTGATTTCTGATTTTTTTTCTTTTGAATAAGACATGCCACCTGGTGAAGTATAGCTCCTCTACAAATTTGTCAAATTGTATAAACTGTGAACATTTATTGGAAATACCCTATATGTAAGTTCTAACCATGGATTTCTTCATTTAGCCTATACACATTTGACTAAACATAAAAAATACTCTCTCTGTGTCTTCACTGACTTCCTGCAAAGGTTTTTAACACACACCAAAACATGGGTTTAGTCAGGTTTTATCTCCACTGCTTCTAAACGTTGATTGAAACCAGCTGGTGGTGTTTCACTGAGAGCTGCTGCAGCTGTCCAATCAAAGCCAACCAGGCCTTTCAGCTGATGTAGGCCTCTATAAAAACATTTGTTTTCACTGTTTCAGCGAGAAGTTCTTCCTTTTCTAGATTCAGAGATGTTTCGGAGCCTGCTCCTCACCGTTGTGTGTGGCTTTGCAATGGCCGTTATCAATTCTGAACTGGATCGACACTGGTCACTATGGAAGAAGATACACAATAAAGTCTATTCTCACCAGGTAAAAAGTCAAGTCTTAATTCAGTCACTAGTCTAAACCTATTTGTTTGTTTTGAATGGTGTCACACTGTGTTAATGTGTCAAGTGTTTGTGCATTTTAGCTGTGAAATTTAGCCACTCTCTTGCATGCAGAACACCTTCAGTCTTCAACTCTTGGCAGCTGTTAAGTGTCGATAAAGTAATTTATGTATCATGTGGTTTGTGTTTCCAGATTGAGGAGTTGGGTCGCAGGCGGATATGGGAAGAAAACTTAGAAATGATTAATGTTCATAACCTGGAAGTCTCCCTGGGCTTACACACCTATGAGCTGGCAATGAACCACCTGGGAGACCTGGTTAGTTGAGTTTTTTTTTTTTCTTTTAATTATGCCACTTGTGTAGCTTTAAAGTCCTGCCAACAAACAAATGCATGTGCTCTTCTTTCTTCTTGTAGACCATTGAGGAGATCACTAGCACGCTGACAGGCACCTTCGTGCCCTCTGACCTGGTGAGGGGTCCATCAGACTTTGACGGGGCCAACTCCTCTTTACCAGCATCACTGGACTGGAGGGATGAAGGCCTGGTAACCAACGTCAAAATGCAGGTGAGCAATACCCTAATGTATCAGTACACATTAAAGGAGCAGTGTGTAAGACTTGGGGGGGACTTAGTGGTATCTAGTGAGGATTACAGATCGCAATCAGCTAAAACTTCTCCCAGGTAGAGTTCCTTCAGCGTTCATTGTTCTGGAGTTTTGTACTGTGAGTGGAATTATCCAGAGGTCTCATCCCCTCTCCAAAACAGATGTGATTTAACCCAATAAAAACACTAACTAAAGCAGTGACATCAGAAAATATTTTTCTCCAGCGCTCATTGCAGATGAGAGGCAACTATGGATAGCTGACACAAAAGCATGCCTGGCCCCATCTAGAGCCAGTGTGTTTGGTTCATCCATTCTGGGCTACTATAGAAACATGGCGATCTCTGAAGCAGAGGACCCAGTCCCCATGTAGATTAAATGCTCAGTCTAAGGTAATGGAGACACAGTGATTTTCAGGTGATTATACACTAAAGAGAAAATTGTATTCCCCTAAATCCTACACACTGGACCTTTTCAACATGGAGCATTAGGACTTTGAAAAAGAGGCAGTCTACATGTGCAACATTCCTGTCCTCTAGGGTGCTTGTGGCTCTTGTTGGGCCTTTAGTGCAGTCGGAGCTCTGGAAGGGCAGCTCAAGAAGTCTACAGGCGTCCTGATGTCCCTCAGTCCTCAGAACCTGGTGGATTGCTCCGTAAAATACGGCAACCACGGGTGCAATGGTGGCTTCATGGCAAACGCCTTCCAGTATGTCAAAAACCAAGGCATAGCTACTGATGACGCCTACCCTTACGTCGGCAGGGTGAGCTGCCAGGATAATGCGCGTGTTAAATATCAGGTGTACTGTGGTTGAACCTTGACTATATCTACCCTGCACAATGCTTTGTTTTCAGCGTGGTCAGTGCAAATATAACCCACAGTTGCGAGCTGCGAACTGCTCAGGCTATGGCTTCTTACCAGAGGGGGATGAGTTTGCATTAATGGCAGCTGTAGCCAGAATCGGACCTATCTCAGTAGCAATTGATGCCTCCAGGCCCAAGTTTGTCTTCTACCGTCATGGTGAGTCGTGGCTTTATACTGTCTTTAAAAATAAAACCAGTTTAATCTTAGTTGGGTGTAAGGAAGTGAGTTGCTAACCTCTTTGGAGCTACATCTGTTTTTTCTTTCTACATGTGTTTGTGGCCCCACAGGTGTGTACAGGGACCACACATGCACCAACAACGTGAACCATGGAGTGCTGGCTGTGGGCTACGGCACTGAGAGAGGACGTGACTACTGGCTGGTCAAAAACAGGTTGGTGTGAGAACTTATGTTGAATGTTAACTTTGGATTATAGGAATGATGGTATATTAAGTTCCATGAGTTTCATGTTGCTCTAAATATTTCAATTGTAGTTGGGGTGTAAATTACGGAGATGAAGGCTACATCAAGATGGCTCGGAACAGACGCAACCAGTGTGGCATCGCTCTCTACGCTTGTTTCCCCATCATGTGAACAGCAAATGTTCAAAGTTTGGGATGTGCATTTCTTGGCAGTAGTTGAGGCATTTTTAAATAAACCGTTTGATCCTTAACTTGTGGATTTCTTTAATGACTGCAGCTGCTAAATCAATGATTGTCAATCCTGAGTACTGGAAACTTGTGATGAGCAACAGCAGCAAAACTCCTGGCATCCCCAGCTGCATGCTTGACTCCACTTATTTATTTATTTATTTATATATGACTGAATGAATGCAAGTGACACATCTGGAATATAAGTAAAGGAAGTCAGCCAGTTCTTCATTCTTCACTTAAAGATTTGTTTTACTTTTTCTCTAGCTACTGTGTTCACTTACTTGCAATACCCTTGATGCCCATACAAGGTGGCTGGTGCAGGCAGCCTTCACAGACCCCTGCAATACCAGTATCAACCACTTGGATCTGTTAAAGGGATAGTGCACCCAAAAATGAAAATTCAGCCATTATCTACTCACCCATATGCCAATGGAGGCTCAGGTGAAGTTTAGAGTCCTCGCAACACTTGCAGAGATCCAAGGGGAGAGGGGGTAGCAACACAACTCCACCTAATGGAGGCTGACGGTGCCCCAGATTCAAACGTCCAAAAACACATAATTGAAACCACAAAATCTCCATACTGCTCGTCCGTAGTGATCCAAGTGTCCTGAAGCCCCGACATAAAGTTGTTTGGAAAAACATCATTTGAACTGTTTTTAGCCTCACTGTAGCCTGTAGCTCTGACTGCCTCTCTGTGCACCACGCTCACGAGACCAGCGAAAGCACGAACGCAGTGCCCATGTCTCAGTCTCACACAAGCGCGCACACATGAACGTGGTGCACAGATAGGCAGTTGGAGCTGCAGGCTACAATGAAAAAAGAGTTCAAATGACATTTTTCCAAACAACTTTTTACGTCGGGGCTTCAGGACACTTGGATCACTACAGACGAGCAGTATGGAGATACTTTGTGGATTCAGTTATGTGTTTTTGGACGTTTGAATCTGGGGCGCTGTCAGCCTCCATTAGATGGAGTTGTGTTGCTACCCCCTCTCCCCTGGGATCACCGCAAGTGTTGTGAGGACTCTAAAACTTCACCTGAGCCTCCTTCGGCATATGGGTGAGTAGATAATGGCTGAATTTTCATTTTTGGGTGCACTATCCCTTTAAGAAACTGCGTTAGATAAGTGGTTCCCAATACTTTCTGCTTGTGATTCCTTAGTTTAAAGCAATGGCAAACCTTCATCACAGCTTCCAGTGGAAGTGATGGGGACAAAGTCCAGAGGTGTATTAAAGGTTTATATCGTGTTGAGGCTGTAGCAATTTCGGTTAATGTGCACATCTCTCCCAAAGTTAGTTTTCTTAGCACAAAATTTGTTTCCTTGACAGGCTTTTCATGCCAAGCAGCAGGAGTGACTAACACAGATGTACTAATAAAAACTGATCAGGGTAGATACCCGCTGAGTTTGACAAATAGTTAAAGCCCCATGTTAGCATCTGAACATTTTAATGTATTTCTGCACAGAATGAGGACAGTGGATTTTGTTTCCCAACACTTTCACTGGAAGCAGAGAAGGAGGGATCTTTAGTCAGTATGAACAGGAGGAATGATTACAGCTAGCTAAAACTTTTTCAATGTCCACATGGGCATGTGATTATTGTTTGAAACCGTCCTTTAAATTATACAGTGAGTATAAAGCAAACACTTTTGGGTGGTATAAATTTTGCTTTTCCTTTCTTTAACGCCACCTGCACCTACAAAGGTGCACTGCCAGCATGGCAATCCAAACAGTTTAAGCTTTACACCTTTGGACAGAACCACTGAAGTGTCCTTGAATTAAACACTGTTTACGAACATAACATATTCAGGGTTTTTCTTCCCCATATTTCAAAAAAGACCATGTTCCTACTGAGCTGTTTACATGGCATCCCTCTTTTATGCTTTCCACCAACTTTTAGAAAAGTTCTGCGCTGCATACCCAAAAATGTGTTGATATCCCAGTCGTTCATATCCCACGCCTTAATCGGAAAATGCTTCACTTAGAAAAGGGACTAACTCGGAAAATCCAAATCAGATATGCTGTTTACATGATCCCTATCAAATTCAGAATTTTGTCATATTCAAATTAATAGTGGAATGTTGGTGTGTATGTAAATATGGTCAGTGAATCTTTACCAGCACAAATCAGAGCAAAAGCAACAACACAGCTGGACGTTTACAGTCAGCATGCAGTTAGTGGTGTAAAGATATCCTTGCAAGTATTGACATTAGCATGTAAAGTTTGGAGAAATGCTCCACATAACATAAACTGACTTCATGCTGTGTAATGCAAACCATGACATTGGTTTTCTTTCTTCAAGTTTTATTTCCATTATGATTTATCATTTTCTTCATAGCACTGGATAAATGGCACAAAAGTGCAAATCCCAGCATGATGAACAACTCTCACATAAAATAAATACAGCACCTTTTCAGCATCACTAAAATATTCTCAATATCCAGAAGTAATAAATACTGAATTTACCAAGATTTTCAGTCTTCATTTACAAAACACAAAGACAACACACAATAGATTTTTGTGTCATATTGAACTTTTTTTTTTTTTTTTGGAATTGTTTTCCTTGATCTTTTGAGCCACAATTTCCAAACTTGCACGTACAAACATCTACAGTTTCTACACACAGTACATTGATTTTTTTTTTCAATTAAACTCACATTTAGAGTAGAACTTTTATCATTTAATAAACAGATCAGAGTCAAAGAAAGAAAACGCAAACATAAAATCCTTCAGTCCAAACTAGAGTGAAGAATTCTTGCAGTTCTTTGCAGATGAAGGAGTTGTTTTCTGGCATGGGTCGGCCATTTTTTCCCAGGATTCGTTCAGAAGTGATCCGTGTGTTGAGAGTTGAGGAGACAGAAACCATGCCATAAAAAGTCCTCCATCCCTTTATCAGACCGCCATCATTAAGGTCTTAAGTCTTCAGGCTGGTGTTCGTAATACATCCCATATCACTGCTGTCATTTTAGACAAAACTCAAACCAGTGACCCTTTTGATAGTTTATACATATATATGTATGTATATATATATATATATATATATATATATAGAATGCAAATTCTACACGTAGTAACATTAAATAGTAAACTTTTACATTTTGGACAGGAGCTTCAATTTGACAGAGGGGGCTCTTTTGATGAGATGATAAAACTGTGGTCCTTTTGGATTTAACACTGACTTCCTGTTTCCTCAGACCTGGGGAAAGGCTCCACTTTATTACTCACACTTTCCCCTTTAAAACAGATTCACATGGACAAACGAGATCATATCAAATTGTACTTTTTGTACTTAATTTATGCACATTTTCGGCTCCATTCGCCTTAAGCGTACTGCCCTTTTCCGCTCACCTCTTGTACCTCTGCGACAAGATGAATTGCACAATTACAAGCATCCTCCTCAGAAATTCAAGCATATTTATATATATATTTATATATTTTAAAAAAGACCTGGGTCCATGTTAAACAAGGAGCACAGTCACCACTAACTTACTTTCAGAACACATACTCAAGTTTCACCAATTTTAACCCCACTTTGATTAAGAACAATCACTGCAAGCAACAAATCTATGTCATCATACAACAATGAAAACACTAGTTCTTGCTTTAGACAAAACAGCTGGCATACAGGACGTCCAAGAAGTCAGACAATACGATACAAACATGCGTCACGATTGGTTGTATACAGAAGGATTAGAGGGTGAAGTTGTCTTTGTGAATTCAAAATGTGACCTCTCTCCGTCTTTCCAAACAGAGAACAGACCGCACGTTATCTCTGAGACTGGCTATCTTTGATGGGATTTCGTTTTAAATACTGAATTGTATCAGCAAAAGAGCACCCGAGTCTATTATGAAGAACGGCACATTAAATTCTACACTGCATATATTGTTATTTTTTCTCTTTGTGTAAATATATTTCCGTGGTCCCCAACTGAGCTGTATTCATCGCAGGGATGAAAACACCGCAACAGAGAAAAGTAGAAAAATATGTGACAGACAATTTCATCTAATACACACATGCATACACACACACACACACACACACACACACACACACACACACACACATACATACATCTGCACATGAACCAAACAGTCTTTCTAACACGAATAAGACGGGACAAATTTGTTCATTAAATACACACAAGACAAAGGAGAGATTTCATCCTCAGAATGCGATCTATATTTGACAGCATTCAAAGAATAGTTCAACATTTCGGGCTTATTCACGGACTTGTTCGAAGTTAAATCAATGCTGCTCTCATGCCTGTACGCTAAAAATTGAGCTTAGCTTAGCATAGAGAACAAAAACAGGGAGAAACAGCTAATCTGGCTCTGCACAAAGGTAATGAAATCCATCCTCCTCTAAAGCTCAACAATCAACATATTATGTCTTTAAAGGTCGACTTCATCTGCTTCATTTTTTGGGGTTTTCAAATGGAAATGTCCACTCAGCAGTTCACAAAAAGCAGAACGCAGCTTTACCTTGCTGTCACACAGTCCTTACTAAAGGGGAACTGAAGCTGTTATATCGCTCTCTTCAAAGCCACCAGACTCCTGTGGCAAAAACAGTAATCTTACCTCACAGATCACGGGAGTTTCAGTTCTACCGCTGCCTCGATCAGCTAGTTCATTTGTGTTATAGTGTGACACTCGGATCCCAACTACTGTGGCGTGCACAGCAGCACACTGCTTAGCTTCCATACCAGTTTGGGGGTTAGAGGAATATTGCTAATTTGGAATATCGCTAACGCAATTCTCACGGAGGGCTTGGCAGGCATCGTGCAGAAACCTACATCAGGTCATGTGGGAAAACGCTTCAAGAAGGGCTAAGGAAAAAAGCACGTATGTACTTTAACCAATATTTAAAGTTAGGATGATAAAAAAGGATGATTAAAAAAAAGAATAAATGCAACCGCCCTTTAATTTAATCTGTACTAAAACCAACGTGTAAAAATAACAACTTGTGGTTTTTATGGGGGTTATATGCCACAGAATTTCGTCCAATTTTGTTACCTTGGAACAAAACCAGGCTAGCTTTTCCCCTTGATTTCAGTCTTTATGCTAAGCTAAGCTAATCACCTCCTGATTTCAGACATGAGAGTGGTATCGATCTTCTCATCTGACTCTTGGCAATAAAGTGAATAAGCATACTTATCAAAGTGTTGAATTATTCTGTTAAAGTCTCTCTCTATCTCACACACATGCACACTCACACACACATAGTTCAAGAGGTCAGACAAACTCCTATAGCTGAGATAAAATCCGCTATCTTTCTGAAGTGTGTGTTTTACCGACAGACAGCGCCAAAGCCTCCAACATCCTGAACACACACTAACCAACACAATCCACAGGACGTCTTTAGGTCAAACAACATACTCTACTGGGCGGCAGCGGCACCCACATACTCACTCACTGATTGTCAACACACATATTGATGTACACCTTTGGAGAAATTATACTGCAGTAGTGATATGTATAAATAATGGTACTCAGTTAGCTTCCCCTTTAGAGTGATTGGGTCCAATTTTGATCAAAGTCACAATAGGCATTGTGCTCTCAAAGTACTCTTCAATTAAGAGCATCATACATGAGCACAGGGAGGGATAACTTTTTACTCTTTCTGGCACTGATGGATGCAGTAAAGGAATGACAGGAACAGGAGCCCTTAAAATGAAATTAGACAAGTGATTTGTAATTTCTGTTTTCCCTTTGTGCCACACTGCCTGATCATTTCTTCCTTTTTACTGATTCTTCTCCTTTTGGTCCCGTTTTATTTGTGCTTATGAGTATGATGAAATCACATCATGATTTAAGGAGCATTAAAACTGGGGTAGCTGGGGTTTTATTCTACTGTCACTGTGCAATCCCATACTAACCTTACACTAGAATTCTGCACCTCCTCTTGGCTCTGTTTTCAGGCTTTAGAGATCTAGCCCAGGTCAGGTAAGAGAGAGGGTGTTCCTACTGGCTGTTCTATAAATGCAGATGCATGTGCATGTTCGCAGAGAATCCTGCTATTTCAGCATTGGCAACATCTGTCTAGGCTGCAAGGCAACCCCAAAAAAGAAGATAGATTCATCAAAATGAGAGTCTAAAAGAGAGTCTGACTATAAACGATACAAAAAAAAGAGCGTGTCCATATCTGCAAAGTGTTTCATGATATGGAGAAAATGTTGCTAACAGTTTAGCTTCCTGCTAACCGAAGAAAGAAGCTCATGGCTGCAGCTTAAAGTTCACGTTTAATTAGTTAACATTAGCTAGAGCGTTGAATCACAATATGTCATGTCATGGGGCTTTACAGGCACAGACCTTCAGTAAGCAGCTGGAGTAACTTTAAATCCAGCCAGCGTTAACCCCAGCACCTGACATCCAGACAGCCCTGACTCCCCACCAGATCAGCAAACTTTCTGTTGCTGCTGTTACACAGGTAAGACCAGGCGCTAAACGTTGCGCAGAGGGGTTTGAGCTGGCTGAATTTAAGTTGCTACAGCTGCTGACTGAAGGTCCAACTCCTAAGCTGTGGCTCACTCTCCTCCTGGTGAAATAGTCTGTAGCGGCAGGGAGCGAGGCAGACGGACCACAGGATATGCTAGCTACCTTATTTTTGTCTCATTTTTTATGAACAGAGAGAAAGAGCGGGGCAGGAGGACGGTGAGCGAATGCAACAACTCTGCAGTTAAATAAGATGTATGGGAAATACTGGATTACTGTATGAAGCACATGCACATGCCTGAAGAGGCGTAGGACAGAGAGAGGAGAGCTGCAGGAGGAGGGCTTATTCTTCCTTTGTTTTCCAGAAAATTCCCTACCCCAGCTTTAACACAATTTTAAGAAAGGATACTGCATTAAGACCAAACAGAAAAAGACAAGACAAACAAGGTGGTTTTGAGCTTTCACTCTCTATGAACACTACGCCAACTGTGAACAAAGAGCGAGATGCAGTTGAAAGTTCTCCAAAAAGCTAGTAAGTGGATCTTGGCTGAAGATTTTTTTTTGTCAAACTATTGTTTCTGAGGTCACGAATGAACTGTCACACTCAATCATATGACTTGTTTTCACATTAAGGCTAATTAATGCAGCTATGCGTGAGATGGAGCTGGACTTTTTTTTTTTTTTAAATCAGAAAACTCTCCTGCACATATATTAATTTGGTGGAGTGGTGCTCTAACGTTGTACCAGCTGTAAACGAGGCGTAAATATTTTACCACACCTGAGCTACTGAATGAGTTATTTGATATCATTTGTATAAATTAACGTGTGACCGCTGTTCTGTACATTCTGCTGTTGGATCAGTTAAAATATTATGGTCCACATGGCTGCACTGATTTGCATGAAACACAGGACACTCTCTCTCGTCTCACATTACAAAGACACACATGCAAACTCACACTACTAACTCAGGCAACTATTACACTATCTGCTATCACATTTAGCACTTGACCAAAATCCGTCCCACAGACGTCCCCGTGTTGCAGACGTCACGCTGCCACAGCTGTATGGTTCAGCAACAGGGAGGGAAAAACATTAGTTCAACACTGAGGAGCTGGATCAAACTATTCCCATTTACATCAGAGAATCCTGTGAAATGCATCTTCACCTGTCTGTGCTCTGAGGCTATCGGCAGAGGAGTAGACTGAATTTATGCAGGACAAAGGAAGAATGACCGTTTCTGAATAAATCAAGCCTCACTGGAATGTTTGAATATTATTTGGTTGAAACAGGTCTGGCTTCAGAAGCAGGCAGTGGTCAAAGGTCGTGGGTGTTTTTTTTTGTTTTGTTTTGTTTTTTTTTGTACAACATATTCACCCTGAAATTCACTGTGAGATCTTTTCAAAAGAAAAACGTTTCATCAAAGCACAAGCATCAGCCCAAATGGAAATGTGAAGTGAATTGTACAAGCAGCAAATGAAAAAGCAGCACTGAAAGCCAGACACTGAGGCCGCTGAGGACAGACGAGAAAGGAAAACACTGCATTCACATCTGAAAACCGACCACACGAGTAGACTAAATCATTGCGCTCCCCTGTAAATGGCTTTTCTTTTTTCAGTCTAATCTCCCCATTTGACATCTGTCTGCTCAGTTGTGTTTGATATTGTAGATCTGTGGGCCGGTGAGAGAAAACTCCCAGAAATTAACATTTTATCCATCCTACACACCACAATTTGTATTGCATCACCCTGTGCATGTTGCACTTTTGAAAAGATCAGATGTTTTAGGTACCTGATGGTGCTGCTGAATCATTCAGATGTAGTTGTGTTATCATGACACAGGTTTTAAATTCTGCTGCTCTTCTCTTAAATCACTGTGGCTCTGTATTGACTTTAAATGATGCAATCCATATTTCAGAGGATTCTGGGCTTACAATGGGGATGGCAGTCTACTCTGTTGGTGTGTGCCGGGCAGCGCTGAAGCTCTCAGGGATGTTCGGGCTCTTAGTTGTCAAACACACACTCCAGCTGTGCTCTGCTGCCCACTGCTGGTCATTTTGCTTTACTGCAACACTTGGCCTCGTGTTTCAGGCAACTTTGTTGCAAGGAAACTACCTGCAGCGAGCGCACCAGCGGCAAATAAGATGGGAACAGCCTTGGTGATGCCGACAAATGACTGGAAGATGCTGATGCCCAGGACGGCTGCCAGCTTGCAGAGGGCATTCAGGAAGCCAAACGCTGTGGTCCTACAGACAAGAAAACAGGGAGAAACACAGTCACTGTAACCATGCTGATCATTAATTCCCTACCTCAGTGTTACTGTATTTAAACATGCTTAGTTTTCTTTTAATACACCTTTAATGTTGTAATTTGTAGCACAGACAAGTGGAGATAAAAGGTAAATGTAAAAAACATAAAAACCTATAAGAACACAATTATAAACACACAATTCTTTCTGTAAGTGTAATGATACTGCAAATAGTAGTTGCTGTTTATTGTGTCATGTATATACAAGTGTCCAGCCCACTTGGACTGACAAGAAAGATACTGATGCAGCAGTGAAACATTTGTCAGACAAGAAAATGTAACTACATGACACTGCACTACAAACAAAGGACTTGGCGTCCTCCCACAGACTCTCCAATGAAAATTTGTCAAGCTTAGGCTTCCCTTACTAAAACACAACTCAACATTATAATAATCCCACCAGAGGGAGTCATTAAAGGATAATTTACTTCAAAGTAGAGTCATTCAATCATCAATAAAATATGAAATGGACAAAACCTTTCTTCCGTTTTAAAACTTATGTATAATTCAACGTAACTGTGCACACAGAGTTCTTTGACTTAATGTACCTTTTATCGTCACATAAGGTTCCACACTATAATTATCTTTATGAAGAATTAATGGTCATAACTTAGGTTTGTACAAAACATTAACTGACCATCTTTGCTTACATATAAAGAACAATTTGCACTGATTAAATGAATCACACAGAAGTCATAAAAAATATATGCTCCATATTCCATATTGTTACCTAGACTACACTTCTAATAATGCAAGTATAGTTATTATTAGACCAAAGTTAATTTAAAAAAGCAGTCTTGAAAGGATTTTAAAGGAACAGTTCAAACTATTGGTCAACTACGTTTATTTGCTTTTGTGCTAAGAGCTGGGTAAGAAGATTGATACCACTGTCACATCTGTCAGTTACATATGAAGTTACAGCTGGTTCATTTTGCTTACCGTAAAGCCTGCAAACTCTCAAAGTCATTACAGGTGCTTTATGAGACATTCAGAGCATTTGTATAGCAGCAAACAATTATCTAAGTAAAGATATAGTGCTGTAATGGTGCTCTGAGCAGAGAATGAAATCACACGGCCTCTGTGTGTGTTGTAATCCGAGCTTCTCTGTTCTTTGTTATGGTAGAGAGTCCGATCGTGCGTGCGTGTTAGTGCATGTGACTCCCTGTCTGTGTATCCCACTGCCTATCTAATCGCAGCCACACTGCATTGCGCTAACAGGGTGGCGTTGTTGCAGCAGCGTAACACCCACCCTGTGGTCCCCCCTCAAGGTTAACACCGTTAGCTCTGTCAGCACTGTTGCTATTCTAGCACTGTTCTCACTGTTAGTTGCTAGCCGCCAGCTCATCCATCTCTATGTTGAGAGCCACGTGCAGACAATCCCAGCTCAGATTCTGGATCATAGATATGCTCTTAATGTTGTTTACAGCTCCTCTGATTAAGGCTTACCTGTATTTTACTCTCTGATTTTGTCTGGATTAAACAAACAGGGACAAATGTGTTAATTATCAGGCAGACTCTCTTTGTTACCTTTGAGTGCAGTTGGGTGCTCTGCCTCAAAAAACAGCACAAATGTTTGTTTTCCAAAAAAACAAAGTCAGGAAAAAGTGCAGCACCCAAGAGGCCAAAAACAACAAAAGATTCATTGGGAACATGTATTAGCCATCAATAGGCTGAAGGCATCAAGCCCTCTTTAGAGAAAGTATGACAGCAGTGACTCTCTTTTTTAAAGGACACGTCATGTGGTCACTAATTAACAGGAACAGTTGCGCCTGTACACCTGCAGGAAGGTCCTCCACTCCCCATAAAGAAAAGTAAAAAGAAGAAATCTAATCAAAGGACATAGAAACAGTAATGAGTTGGTGTACCTTTTATCTGAGGGGTAGAGCTCCACTGTTATCACATCCAGGGCGTTCCACGAGGCGATGCTGATGCCACCAAACAGGCACAAGAGGGCGATCATCCCTGACTCACTGTTGCCGAACATCAGGAAGAAACAGCTGACGCAGGATATGACACTGGATCCCGCTGATCAGAGGGAGAGAGGGGGAATCAGAATTACATTAGGTTTAATATCCTCCATGGCAATAAGTGAATTATCTGCACTGATTAGATTCACCTACCCAGCATCCTTAAACGCCCAATTTTGTCCATTAATAGAGCTGACACGATGTTGCCAGGCAACACCGCCAACGTGCCGAGGAAGTTGACAAAGTATATCATGTAGGCATTGTTGAAGTCGTCACTGAAGTCGAGCATGCAGCCCTCCTTGTTGTGGAGGAACGTGCTGTTGACCAGTTTACAGTTGACAAACCTGTATTTGAACAAATCTGACGGAAGAGAAAAAGAAAAGGGAGAGAAGTGTTATTGATCTGAAAACCAACTTTTACAATTCCATTTTCAAATCTGTGTTGTCTGACTTTACAGCTGCCATAATCCAGATGGGAGATATTTAACAAGTGTCAAAATATTGCATCATTTATTTAAATCTCCTCAAGCAGCACAGGCTCATTTAGGGAGGTTGTTTGGGCTGTATGCATCCTGAGCGGAGGATTGAAGACACTCCTCTGGGCTCAGGAAACTTACTTTCACCTCCTCTGTATGTTTTCTGGGTAAAATTGAAGTAGAAATAGAAAAGTTTTTGCCTAAACTTATAATTATGAAGTAAATGTTGACATCACATTGTGTAGGCTTTAGTGTAATGACACCATCTGTATTTAGATTGGTTCCCTAAAAGCCTCACTTTTATTATGCAGTTCTGTCTGCCACTGGGCACCGTCTCCCAGGGAAATGAGGGCTCGATTTACAGTGCAGAGAAAGTGCATTAACCATTGTGCAACCATTGTTTTCCCAGGTAGCCATCAGTGGCTATCTCCAGTTACCAAAAAGCACTGATGTCAGTTGCTATCCCCAGTAGCAGAAATGGTGGACGGTGGAACAACCAAAGTAAATGTGGAAACTCTACTCAGTAAGTGCCCTGTTGCCAAGCAGGCTGTTCTCATGCACTATTTGTACATATACCCACAAAAAGTACTACACCAGTATTTGTATATAAACTACATAATCATCAGCCAATAATAGGTGTGATCGGGAAGGCTGCGATCAGGGAACCAATGTGCTGAGGGGAGGAAAGAAGGAAGTAGCATAAAGAGTGAAAGTCTGCATAAGGAAGCAGGTTGGCATGGTGGGTGGGGTCAAACAAACACAGGACTTTCCCCCATACGACCAGTGTTCATATCCTGCGTGAAACAGAGCAAACTTTGAGTTATTTTAAGGTACTTCGCCACCACGTTTGTTTTCCTTAACCTGACCTATGTAACTTTACGTTAAGTGTGTGACTTAAACGTTAAGTACATACCATGACAATACCAAATCATGTTTCTTAACCTAAACTTAACTTATTCATCTTTATGTTAAGTACATAATGTGACAACTCCCAACCTTAATTCTTTGTCTAAATATAACCTACGTAATGTTACATTAAGTACGTAACTTTCAATAAGTATGTTACTTGCCGACACTACTTGAGGGGCGCTTATTTGTCAGATATCATATGAACTGTCGAATGAGGATACGTTAACGCCACATGGAAACACAAGGGGGGAGTTGAAAAGTTATCTTTTTTCACTTTGAATAAAGTAATCTACATTTTTAACTTAAACTAAAAGAATCTAGAAGTGAATACAAACCAAAGATAAGGACAGTGCTCTTTATAGCAAAGATTGTAGTACAGATACAACACAACTTATCATGTCATGTCTCTATTAACAAAACTTAACAAGACTTTACGTCCTACAGTAGATATACAGCATTTATAATTTTTTGGTTCTATAGTGTAAACCGTTAACAGTGATCACGTCTGTGCGGGGCATACTGATCACTACAAGCAGATTATTATTATGACAAAAAAAAATTCTCATGCAGATTACCATCTAATTAACATTTATACATGTATTTCATGAATATGTATATTTATTGCATGAATATAAAGTGAAGTAATCCACTTGAGGGGCGGCTTCAACCACAGCAGCCGTGACTGTTTCTTGTTGTGTACACAAGGTAGCCTGAGGAACACCAAATTTCACCGCCGCATCTTATTGGCTTGCATCTGGCAGTTTGTCATAAGCTTCGAGGGGACAACATTTTTTATTAAGAGAAAATTACTTCCCTTTCTTCGTAATTATTTCAGTGTGCACACGGCAGTAGGGAAGCAGACGGGTTACCGTGTGGCAAAGTATCACAGTTTTAAGTTTTAAAAAAGTAGTTTTTAATTGTTTTTCATGTGTTGCCATGTATGAAAAGACTAACAATGAATAATGTAAGCAGACTCGATTGATATAAGCAAATTATTTGAACAACATTTGTATAAGAATGTTTCTGTCACAAGCTTTTTTTTATCCATATAAGAGCTTTCCACTGTAATATTATTATTATTATGGAGTGCATGATAAGCATTTCTTCATTTATTCATTTTTTGGATCTGACTTCATTGTTCCTCCGGGAAACCAAAACTATGTACAAAATTCCATAAATTATCAGTTCCTCTGAAACCGAAAAAGAGATGATTATATGACCTGTCAGCAAAAGAAACCAGGACATCTGCACAGACACCACACAGCCAATCCACTGTCAGCAGTTGTGTTCGATCAAAATTCCTCTCAGGCAGAGATTTAGCATAAAAACTGCATCCATCACTGTGAACTTTTTAAAATACACAACAGAAAAAAAAGAAAAGGTCAGGAGAGGTTATGAGGCCTGTTACTTTATTCTCTGTTTATGCTTTGTTGCCTGCAGCTGCACAAAACTACATGATGAGATTTTATGATGACACTGCTGAAACTGCCTCCATACCAAGAACAACCAATAACAGCTTTATTAAAGGGAGTCAGGCACCAAAGTGCTGAACGATCATAAAATTTTAGACATCCAAATGACAAAAACATGAAAGAATGTATTGTTGGCTTCAGGGATGAGAAGATATACTGCTGCTGCTGTAAAAGCTGCTGAGGCGGTTTCTGTAGAAGTGAAGATGTTGGACTAACGAGATGCTGAAAACAGAAACGAGCGTCTCTGTTTTCTCAGGGAGAATCTGACATGTTGATTGAAAGCAGAAATCAAAACCACACAGTAAAAACCCACCACAGACCACAGCTTTCACAGGACCTAATGGCATTTTAAATGACTCCATCTTTTTTGTGCATTTTTGTGAACAGTTGCAAACATACATGATGTCATCTTAACACACACAAGTTCGTCTTATGTCAAGTCTGAGAAGAAGCTATGGTCCTGATTATCCACTTAACGCATTCTCACATCTGGTTTTTTATAATCACGAAGCCCTGTTTCGCAGCTAATCCCATCACACTGCTGTCAAAAAGTCTGGTCTGGATTTGTTTATGTTGCTACGGTGACAGTTCCGCAGCAGCGTAACCCAGGGATACCAGCAACAGAAGGTTTCCATGGTTTCAGTCCTGCTGAACATCTGTGTTTTATCATTTTTCTATTTTTACTTTAGGCTGCCATAAAACTATTTAAAATTCATATTTAATTTCAAATGATTTATGTTTTTGCAACTGTGTGATAAAAGTAAAATTATCATTACAGCAAAATTAAAACTAGGACTTTAATGATTAATCAATGTATTTTTATCTGTTTTGTATCATTCTAAAGCTGCACTAGTCAATATTTTATACTAACAATTTATCAGATGACTGTACTTAATTTATCCCCTGACTCTGCTGTTTCCTTCAGCTCTACCAGACCATCCCCCCACTAAAAATGGCCGTATAGGTCATGTGTGCAAGCAGCTTATTACAGCCCATATTTATGTTTATTGTTAGTTGGTGACCTCTAGTGGCTGTAGTGACATATGACAGGAGGAAAGAGGGAAGTCATGTGACATATAAAGGATGACAAAGTTTGTGAAGGGAGAAGGTCCAGGTGGATGGAAGGATCAAATAGGACTTTCATCCAGGAGCCCGCTGTTTGTGTCCTGTGTCAAAGCAAAAGTCAACACTGATTTACTTTAACTTCGAACATACTTAACTTAGGTATGTAGCTTAAATTATGGAAAAACATACTTATTTTAATCATGATCTTTTCCTTAAACCTAAGAAAGTAGTTTTCTGCCTAAACCGAACTAAACTGTGACCCATTCACAAGTATGTGCGCCTGCATTCTATAGATGCCCTTTACACCTTGCACTAAAATGTGTCACATATCTATTTTATCGAGATATAATTTAACCTGATTAAATTTACAACAGGTATTAATGTGTGTCTAAAGTGTCCACACTTAAGTTCCACTTCCTTTGTCCAGGACTGTTTGTAGCTGTTCTCCCGTTTGCTTGGCCATTGCTTCATAGATGGCTCGGTTGCAATATGAATAGTTTTTTGTGTACTTTCGTCAGACCAAATTTAAAGCAGACACCTGATTTTGACTTGACTCCATCTAGAGTATGTCTTGAACATCAACAGAATATATCCCCATTTGGTCAGTGGACTTTCATGTCTATATATGATGTGCTAGGTATCCTCCTGCACCTGTTCTTGACATTGTGCATTGTGTCTTTTCAAAATATACTTCCATTTTCACAGGAACAGTTTCTGCTCGTCAGACGCATACAGTCTTTTTCAAAATAAATTTACAACTTCGGTAAAACACCTTGTATTTACCTTTATTTCATTGTGCAACAAAAGCCACGTTATTAGGTTTAGAAAGAAAAAAAACATCATGCTTTGGCTCAACATTTTTGCGGAAAGCTAACGCTTAGGTATCTCAAGGCAATTGAATCGAACACAACTGGACTTGGTTTTGTCTTAGAAGACGTTTCTCCTCTTATCCAAGAGGCTTCATCAGTTCATGCTTGTCTGACTAGTCTGGAACTAGTCTATCCACAGGCGCAAACTCTTAGGTGAAAGTCCAGGGTTTGTTGGACCTACCTAGCTCCTCTCCTCCCTTCCCTATAGTAACATTCCAACTCCTTACATTACGTTGTTACCAGTGGCATTTCTGATTCCATACTGCAGAGTCATAAACTGACGCCATTGGGTGGCATATCATTCTGCCACAAAGGGTGCCGTTTTGCATCGGCGTCTAAGGCCAAAACCACTGATCAAGCAGCAGTATTTGAATGAGACTTCAGAATGAGAACCGGCTGTGAATATTCATAAGCTTTTCTGCTGATTTCTTGCTAGTAGCTCAGTTCACTAACTGGCTGATGGCTGTTTACTCACTGGTTTTGAACAGTTGCGCGTAATAACATAATTCCGCCCACATAGTTGTGATGTAATTGCATTCGGACTTGTGTTCAATGTGGTTACAATGCATCCCTGACCACCTCCAGAGGTAGTTTGGCCGATTGGATCACAATCCGTCCTCAGTGCGTTTTAGGTGCATTTACCCCTGCACTTTCATGTGTTCAATCACAATCCAATCCCCAAAAATGCATTTTAATGCAAGGTGTAAAAGGGGTCATACATTCATGTTATTTTGTGAGTCATTGGGACATGTTGGCTCTACCGAGTGTTTTAGAGTCTTTTAACTCATTGCTTCAGTTTCTTCACTGGTTTGGTTCACTCTCACAGTTCTCTGATAGCGCTGATAAACCCACTGAACACTGCCACTGCCACCAGTGAAGCCATTGCCCAGCGCCCAAAGGCATGCAAACAAAGTTAGCTGGTGAACGTGATGAAGCATTTAGAAGCTAAAGAGACAAATATTGCCCTCAGGAGGCGGAGGAGACCAAAAACAGAGCTAAAAGGAGAGTGATATTGGAATTGGTGGCCAGAAATATGATTCCTAATGAATGTTAATGTTTCTCTGCTGTTTGGACCGTTGTCAGGACAGTTTTCGATGTACATTTTTCAGTTTTTCTTGACATATTATCGACTGAAAGATTGAAGAAAACAATCAGTTGACCTCAGTGCACATCACTACTGAACACACTGATGAATTTCAGTTCATATTTACCTGTGTTATAGAACAAACTTGCAATGAAGGTGCAGTTTCTGAAGAAGGTGTGTGTGGAGGTGATGTCCTCAAAGTAGCACTCCTCAAACACGGAGTCTTCAAACACCATGGACTTCATCTTCAAGTTGAGGAACCTGGTGAACAGTTCACAGGTTTCTAACAAAGTGTTCCAGGCTGTGGTTTTATTCTTGTGCTTTATTGCTGATTTAGAAACATTCAAACATAAATCTGACCGACTATTTGAAAAACACAGAAACTGCAGCTCATAAAATAAAAACAAAACACTCACTTATCATTGAAGTAGTGTCCTTGGCGATGCACTTGATTTTCCAGGGTGAAATTAAAAGTGACATGCTCCACTCGTTCCTTAGTGAAGGTCTTTGTCCGTGATTCATATTCCTGCTTCTGGATGTACTTGATCATGTCTGGGAACCACACTGTCAGACCGTAGTAGCTGCAAAGTTTGTACAGCAGGGACAGATGAAATAAGCCCCAAAAGTGAACGTGATTCACCACACAGAAAAAGATTTTATGAGTCTTTAGTTTACCTGAAAGACATGCTAAACCAAACAGCCATGAGCATGAAAGTTGTCCGTTTATATTCTGGCCTGAAGCAGGCAAGAATGTTGTTCCGAATCTGCAACATGTGGACAAAAAACATACACAATTTTAGACAAAGAAAGCCAGGAAGATCAGATTTAAACTCACTGTAAAATTCTTCTCAGTTAATTTGTTCTTCCTTTAATCTCATAATGCTGTGATATTTCAGCTGACATTTCTGGGCAGTAATGTGCAATTTGTAGAGCTAAAATTAACTTTATGAACAGGAAATAAAACTTGAACGCAGCATGAGAGCAGCCAGGCTGTCTTTCTTGCAGGAATTTTACAGTAGTTTTTCGCTTTGCTTAAAGCAAAGAAGGATCACTTATAGTCACTTATATCTAATAATAATATA